TGTAAGTGCTGCTTTTAATTACATCACTATCTCCCCTAGTACATCTTCCAAAACGAGAGTCATCTAATTGCCGCTTTGCATATTATGTAATGTTTGGCTTTATGCTGTGTTGCCAACTTCTGCCTTTAACCAGGAATTCGTTCTGCAGAGGTAAGCGGAGGATAATCCCATCCCCCTCCATGCCCTGCAAAGCTGATAATTGTTCCATTATGAAGTCCAAATGTAAAAAAAGGGAGGCATGCCTCCACCAAACTGGTGCCAAGTTAGAAAACGTAGCTCCCCTGAGAGTGTGGAAAACCTAAAATACAGTCCATAGGCAAGGCCACCCGAATGGGCTGTCACTCGATTAAAGGAGTATGGATTGAGTTTTAACAGAGCAATCCGTTTATTATGTGTGACATGCTTATACTGCCCTTCCTCCAATGAGCTCAAGGTGGTGGGCTGTTGTCTTCCCTCAGCCTCATGTTATTTCCACAATAACCCTGTGAGGTAGGCTAGGCCAAGACAGAGAGCTAGTGGCTGGGCTGAGGTCAGCTAATGAGCTTCACCGCTAAACTCTTTTAACCTAGATATGAGAAGGATTGTTGGTGGACTACAAATCCCATCATCCCTGACTGCTTCCATCAGGAGGGCTCCTTTGACACCATCCCCTCCAAAGGAGTGGGGTGCTTCACCTGTTGGTTTTCTAACACAAATGCTATAGGAGCATTGCCAAAAAATAAGGTGACTGGCAGCCCTATGCCAAGAAAGAGAGGCAAGGCACATGGAACCACCTGTGACCTTTGCAGGCATCCGAGAGCTGCTCAAATAATAGAGCTGAGCAACTCATAAAAACTATTTTCTGACACCACCGTCTGCCTTGTATAACTTTATGGGAGAGAATCCCAAGGACCAGCCCTTAACAAATGACCACGTCGGACGGCTGGCTGCCTGCCTACGATACACAACAGCAGCAAGAGTTTTGAGGCCAAAAAGGGCACGCATATTATTTTATTTCAATGGGTAAATACGCATTGCTTGTCGCCGCAGGCCATTGCAAACAGTGTGGGTGAAAACATGTCTACAGAGACATAAAACATGAGCTCTCTAGGGGTTTTGTTGTTGTTGTTGTTCTCATTTAAACATACAAACAAGAGCTAAAACAAATCCTTTACGTATTAAGAACTTCTGGAGAATGCTCTCAGATTAATGAGTTGCCTTGTTTTGCTGAAAAGAGAATCCTATTGCTTTCAACTGGCCTGGTATGTACACAGTAGAGGCTGAAAAATATGGCCAGGTCATGTGTCGTCCTCCCCCCCCCCACAAGTCATATTTGCCTGCAACCCACCCCACCAACTCCTGTTCATGAAGCGATCCTCTGCACACATGCGAAGACTGCCTTGAATGTGCCTCCCTCAGCTTAACTGCTAAATGAGCCTGGCTTAAGTTTTCCAATCAGGTAGACGCTGATTCAAGGAGAAACATGTCCAGCGGCAATTTATCTCTCAATAAACTACAGGGCAGGTATAGATTACGGCTAATGCCATGTGTGCTTGGTTTCAGGGGACATTCCCAGACCTTTCTGGGGATGCCAGGAATTGAACCTAGGACCTCTTGCGTGGGAACCACTGAGCTCCAAACATTTCTTTGGGGCACTGGTGTGGATTGAGCTTCGGAGGAGAGGATAAGCCAATGGGCAGGGGTGATAGTGGCAGACATTGGCGGGAGGCCCACCTCTAAGAACTTCCCCAGCTGTCCCCCTAACCCTGAAAAGAATATGGAGACAACCAAGTATGCTGGCTTGCCCCTATGAGTGCACTTCGTGTGGCACCCCTCCTTTAAAATTTGGGGGGCATTGGCTCCCCTGCCTCCCCAGATGATGCCCCTGGCCACATTCTTTACCCCTTGGAGAAGATAACTAGATCACTGCAGGAATTGGGCCCCTTCCAGAAGTAATTTCAGGCTCCTACTCTACATTTTAACACTACTAGATAGCTAGCTAGCTAGCTAGCTAGCTAGCTAGATAGATAGATAGATAGATTACAGATACAGATACAGATAGAATTAGGCTATAGCCCAGCTTACTTACAGGGATATATGGAGGGAAATGGGGATTACATTATTCTCAACTGCTCAGTACGACTGTTCCTGCCCTCCCTAGGGTTCTGGGCAATAAGTGCAAAGAAGCTGGGTTTATTGACAGGTGCTTGGGCACATTTCGTTAAAATTCTGTTTTTGGGGGGGGGGGTTGGAGCCTGTTGAAGACCTTCCTCTTTCGAGAAGCCCTTTATAAGTTGCTTTTAATACATTTCATTGTTTTATCACTTTATCACTTGTTTGCCACCTTGGGCTTCTTTGAGAAGGGCAGGCAGGGTATAAAACAAGCAAGCAAACAAACAAGCTTATTACTTTAAACACCTTTAAATGAAAAATATCAGGTCACCTGCTGAGGTTAGTTTTTGCTCTTTTGACTTACAGTGTGACATGGTGCTTTTAGCTCCACCCCACCCCACCCCAGAGTTAATGATGATGATGATGATGATAATATTCACTATCCCCCTGCTCTGCTTTCTTAACAAAATAGCTTCCTCTGCAGATGATAATCATTTTTCCATACCAAACTGCTGCTAAAGGCATGAGGAGGAGGCCAGACTGTTGTTGTTGTTGTTGTTGTTGTTGTTTCTCTCTCTCTTTGTGTGTTTGTGTGCCTTGGTGAAATCCATGCGAAATATTTTGGGTACACAATGAGTTCTCACACAGGGTTGGCTAGGCCGGCTAGGCCCCGCTGTTGCCCTGCGTGAACTGATGGTGCACCCTAGATAAGGTTTGCAGAGGCAGCAATAAAAATCTCTCCTGTTGCTGGCAGGTAGCCAGTCATACATGAAGCATTTATGCAGCAATTGCTTCAGGTATCTTGTTGTACAGTATCCTTTTTGCCTGCGGCATAAGATTGGACCCTCTTACCACTGAATCCCTGTCTTTATAATACTGTTTTTATTGCTTGTTTTTTTTAAAAAAATAGTCTCTCAGCTTTACTGCTTTTATGTTCATAGAATCATAGAAATGTAGAGTTGGGAGGGTTATCTATGCCAACTGCCAGCGATGCATTATTATATACTGCTTAGAGTTTTTAATATATATATATATATATGAATCAGTGCAGTGGTACCTCGGGTTAAGACCTTAATTCGCTCTGGAGGTCCGTTCTTAACCTGAAACTGTTCTTAAGCTGAGGTACCACTTTAGCTAATGGGGCCTCCCACTGCTGCCACCTGATTTCTGTTCTCATCCTGAGGTAAAAGTTCTTAACCTGAGGTACTATTTCTGGGTTAGCGGAGTCTGTAACCTGAAGCGTCTGTAACCTGAGGTACCACTGTACAGAAATCCTTCTAATTAAATCCAGACATATAGCACCTTTGCACTTGTACATATGAGTCATCCCAGTATGTGTGGCTCATGGGGTGCAGGAGGTAATTGGTCCCCCCCCCCATGGGCCGCCATTTTGCATCTGGCTATTGCCCCCCCCGGCTTCTCTCAACACTATTTTGCAACTGGTTGGTGGACCTCAGGGTTTCAGCAAAGAAGGAAGTAGCTCCCAGATCATGGCACCCAGGACTGTTTTGTGGCAGTGCATTGTAAGGTCAGCTCAGGTCAGCTGGGGTGCCGAGAAAGCTGCCTTTTGCAAAAGTTTGTCTGCCCTGATGGATCTCCTAATGGAGTAACCCCTTGCTCGTTTTGTGGCTTCCCCAGAATGCAATTTGAAAACGACTGCGTCGTTGTGTCAGTGACCCATGACCCAGGAAGCTTAGTCGCAGCATGGAACAGAAACCCCCCAGCCCTGAGCAGCCCCAATTAAACCTGCCTGCCACATTGATCGCCTCACCTGGGACACGTGTGTTCTCGACCTCAATGGCTGGGTCCCTTGGCGCATGGGCCCGGCGTGCGCCCAGCCAGGCTGATCCCTGTGGCTCCAGTCTCACCGTCACCCATTGTCTTTTTTCAAGTTTCCATTGCCCTGTGCAAACCGGCCCCAGTGGAAAGAACGTTGTAGGGGCAGCAGATAAGGCAGTGCAAATAGGATTTTTAAGTTATGCGTCGATGTGTAAGGAGTGGACAGGATGTGCCTTCAATCATCTCCCTCTCCAACCCCCACCGCACTGCTGTGCACTCGGAAAGTTTGTCTGTTTGGAGAAGGGGTGGATATATGGGAGGGATCAGGGCAGCCAGGAGCTGTTGGGTCCAGTTTTGGGAAAGCTAGGCCTGGCATTATCTGGGACCTTTATAAGGCAAAGGGGGACAGGAGTTGAACCTGCTGTCTGAAGAGAGATAAGTTGCCAAAGGCTGGCTGAGTGGAGAGACACATCGGAGGAGCAGGTAAAAAAAGGAGCGGTGACATGTACATACCTGTCCCTGCATCTCTGTCTGTCCATCTCTCCTGTGTGGTTTCCCTCTCCGCTCCCCATGTAACCATTTACCCTGTCTTAACACCTTTCCTTTCTTCATCTCCTCCAGCCGGTGTGTGTGTGTGAGAATCAAGGGAGAGAGAGAGACTGCTGAGTTGCATTTTAAGCAGCCAAGGGGTCAGAGTCTTCGTTATCCTGCATAGCACTCACACTCCAAGAGCAGCAGGACCAAAATTGCACATGTATTTGCCTTTGCTTTATTCATTCGTACAGGTTGTGGTGTCCAGCTGATTCCTCAGGTGCAAAATTACAGGCCCTATTTTAGTGCAATAAACACCCTGCCACCAAATCTTGTGTCCCCCAAGTCCCTTTCTCATATTTAGATGTCTGGTTTAGATGGGTGTGTTTTTTGCACTCTGTATATCCTTAGGGACACTCATGTCTTTATTGCGAATTCATATATTGTTGGGCTGAGTCCTGTGAATGAAAAAGAATGTTTCAGAGCCCAAGAATGGTTTGAGGCATGCAATTAAGTGTCATCTTTTAACACAGTCATCTCTGCTGCTTCTTCCCCGTGCTTCTCGTCTGACAGCTGAAAAGAACGACCCCGCTTAGACGATGGAGGAGGAGGACTCATCATATAAGACCATCTTTTCCCTGGGGCGGTTTAAGATCCGCAGGCAGCAGAATGGACCCCCCTCGGACCAAGCCAAGAGTGCCCCCAAATGCCCGGCGGAGCTCCCACCACCTTCGCAGATGGAGGAAAACGGATCTCTTTCAGACCCTCCGGATTACGAGACCACAATTGATGCCTGCCCTCGCTATGAATTCTACGCCCTTTCAGCACCTCCTGGGCGGCGGAAGGTCCGCCCGTCGCTGGACATGCTCAGAAACGCAGATCTGGTGAGACCTGCTAGAGGGCACTTTTCCGTCAAAGGTGGCGTCTGCCAAAGTTTTCCAGAAAATGTACATCACTGGGTGCAACAGCACACTTTTGAAAACAGCTGGCAAGGAGGGACCTTTTGCTGCATGTTAAATGGACGAGGGGAACCTGTGGCCCTGCAGATTTTTCTGGACCACAATTCCCATCATCCCTGGCCATTGGCCAAGCTGTCTGGAGCTGATGGGAGTTGGAGTCCATCAGCTTCTGGAGAGCCACACAGGGCCGGCCCACTCATGAGGCAAGGTGAGGCAACCACCTTGGGCAGCAGGATCCACAGGACAGGAGATCCGGCCTCCAAGGGATGCATTGCCCACTGCTGCTGCCGCAGTGGCAGAAGCAGGCCCAGCACAATCTTGGAGGCCAGATCTCTATCCTCCTCAGCAGCCTTCCCCATAGCCACCTCTACAGCATCCTGTTGGCAAAATGGAGGCCCTGCTGGTCTCTTCCCACCCTTGGTCCCCATGTAGATCTTTATTCCACCCGTGTTGCTGGTGTAGAGCTTCACTCACCCCTTCTTCTCTGGCAAAGCATGGCTGTGTGCCATTTTGCGGTCCACCTCAGGTGCCAAAATGTTTTGAGCTGGCTGTGATGCCAGAGGTTCCTCACCCTTGGTGTAACTCAACGGGATGGGCCTTCCCACTTGAAGAAGACTACTTGGGCAATTAAAATATCACCCTCCTGACCCACCCAAGTTCTCCTCTTTTCCTTCTGTCCATTGCGCCAAGCAAGACTTCACAAGAAGCGAATGCAAAACTAACAGAACGCTGGCATCCTCCCAAACTTGGGATGTTTTATTCTGTCCCTAAATTTCAATGTGTGCTTGTTAACTCCCTCATCCCATTCCCTTGCATTGTTGTTTTTCACAGACAAAAGGAGATCCCAGTGCCACGGAGGCAGAGGAGAAAGATGTGGAAGCCGATGAACCGGAAGCGGAACCAGTCCGCTTTGGCTGGGTGACCGGCGTCATGGTAAAGTCAAAAAATGAGTGGATTAATTGGATTGCAGGGAAAGGAGAAGGGTGCCATCTAGTCCCAGGAGTATAAAATAATGTTGGGAAGATGCAAGCGAAGCAGCAACAGTCAATGAATTGGTCCTGAATTATATATACATAAAAGGCAACCAATAAGACATACAACATAGATTCAACCTTTGCTGTTCAGATGTTTTGGGATTACTGCTCACCTCTGACTCAGCCAGGGCAGCAGTGCTGGCTGCTGGTGCTGATGGAAATTGTAGTCCAGAACATCTGGAGGCACCAAAACTCTCAGTTTCTAACTTTTCAAATCTTAAATTCAGTTCTCCACATTTTGCAGCAACTTGTAATATTTTTTTTTAAACCCTGCATGAAAATTCACCAGCATTTTAGTGTGAATGTCCTAACCAACCCCTTTAGATGTGCAGTTTGGACTAATGTACGCAAGCAATTTTCCCCAATATAAATCCACTTTTGCATGTTATTGTCACCAACGTCTTCACTTTTAATGTACACTTTACACCCAGTTATGCAAACACCGTTGGGCTGGAGAACTGCATAGCAAAATTTGGATGAGTGCGAATTTTGAAAGATACAGTAGTGGTGTGTCAGTTCGCATCTTGTTCCAGAAGCTGAGAACTTGCTCACATACATACTGAATTGAGTTTCTCCTCCATCTCTAGTGTTGGTGTGCTATTAGATTCTCAGCTTTTTTCTTCTTCTTCTATTTCCGAAGATCCGGTGCATGCTGAACATTTGGGGTGTGATCCTTTACCTTCGTTTGCCATGGATAACTGCACAAGCCGGGATAGGTGAGAGTCTTTTTACCCACGGACAGCTGCGACTAAAAGGAAAAGAGGCTGTCCTCTTTTTGTGGTGTGTTTTTGTGGTGTGTGAACTGTTTCGCACAATGCTTTTGTGCTTGATCCTTGAATCCTGATGTGGACACCTGTACATGTTTGAAAATACATTTACATCATGTATGCATAAGGTGGGGGGGGTGAGAGAAGAGGGAAGAACCATAGAATTGTAGAGTTGTTGGGGACTATGAGAGGTCATCTAGCCCAACCCTCCGCGATGCAGGAATCTTTTGCCCAAAATGGGACTCGAACTCATGTCCCTTATATTAAGAGTCTCGTGCTCTACCAGCTGAGCTACCATATGTGAAATAAGAGATATAAATGTGTTGAGGTTGTCAGGTTGTTCTGTCAACCAGGATAACTGTCAGTAATTAATGAAAGTGGGTTTCAACTATTTAGAATCTGATTTTTTTTTAATGAAACCATTTTCAAATATTTGTGTGAAATCTTGAGTTGTAACCAGTGTTACTCAGAGTAGACCTATGGAAGTTAATTAACATAACTAAGGCCCCCATCTGCTCTATACATCTAAAGCAGTAGCTTACCTTTAAACATTCATAGCTTCCCAGAGCTATATTTCCACACTTCTCTGTGAAGACAGACTGTTAAACCACTTGGAATTGTAGCTCTGTGCAAGGAACTGGGAGTCTCCTCACAACTATTAGTACCCTTAATAAACCATAATTCCCTGTACACTTTGGGGGAAGCCGTGGCTGATTAAAGTGGCATGACACAGTTTTTAATATATAGTGCACATTGGGCTTTTTAGGCTCATTAATATCAACAGGACTACAGTGGTACCTCGGGTTACGTATGCTTCAGGTTACAGACTCCGGTAACCTGGAAATAGTACCTCAGGTTAAGAACTTTGCTTCAAGATGAGAACAGAAATCATGCTCCAGCGGCGCAGCGGCAGCGGGAGACCCCATTAGCTAAAGTGGTGCTTCAGGTTAAGAACGGACCTCCAGAACGAATTAAGTAGGACGTGGCAAGATCCAGAGTCCTTTTTAGATTTATTTATTTTATAATTGCAATTTTCCCAAGCCTTTCAGTACTTTCATTCATAAAATCTGCATCCCCATTCATAAAAACTGAGAGTACTCCAATCACTTCCTGTATCTTCCTTTTAAGAAATCAAAGAGCAACATTTTCTTCTTGTATCAAAAATATATAGTGTTATTAAGTAACAAAGTAACAAAGTGCAGTTTAAAAAGTATCTAAAGACTGATGTGTCTCCAAAGTTTTTTTCCCATTCACAAGTCGTTTACAGTGGTACCTGGGGTTACATAAGCTTCAGGTTACAGACTCTGCTAACCCAGAAATAGTACCTTGGGTTAAGAACTTTGCTTCAGGATGAGAACAGAAATCGTGCTCTGGCGGTGCGGCAGCAGGAGGCCCCATTAGCTAAAGTGGTGCTTCAGGTTAAGAACAGTTTCAGGTTAAGAACGGACCTCTGGAACGAATTAAGTACTTAACCCGAGGTACCACTGTACTGCAAAATCTTCCCTTCAAAAGACAGGAGTTGACTTCCTTTTTAGATTCCGTCTTTGCCAAATCTATATTAAATCCAGTTCTTTTTATTTTGAAAAGTCCATTGTTGTCGACAATACCTTTTTTCCCTTGAAAGTCTGCTGCTTCAGGTGGCAATTCGTGGTTTCAGGTTTCTGAGCTGCGCTGGAGCGACGGGCAGGCTCAGGCCACTGTCGCACCCCACCCCCCACTCGCTGCTGATGCAGCGGTGGGGCTCCGGCGATCGTGGCGAGCCTCTTCATGCCCGGCTGGTCCCCTTGACACCCCACTGCCTGTGGGGCTTTTTTGGGGGGTGCCTAGCAGGTTTTCAACGTTTTTGAGGCTCCCTTGACCAAGTGCCTTCTTTCTACCACACCCCTGTGGGGCTCAGGAGCCCAGTTGTGTCACCCCTTGCCTGCAGAGCTGGCAGCCTCTCACCCTTTTTTGAACACCCTCCCTTGTGGAGTGTGTTCACTCAGCCTCCCCTCTCCTTGGGAGTCCTCTGAGCTGCCCTCCGCCCTCTGCCCCAAAGAGAGGTGCCTCCTCCCTGACCAGCCCCAGAGGCACAATTCTCCTGGGGAGCTTTGTAGCCAGGACAGCTGCAACGAACAGCCGTGCAAGCCTTTGGGAGGCAGAGATGTGAGAAGGCATCAAGGGAGGGAGGGAAGGAAAGAGGGACAGAGGCCAGTGTTGCCTGCAGCACCCTTGACCATCAGTCAAGGCACCCCAGGGTGCCACGGCACACTGGTTGAAAACCACTGGCCTGAACCATTAGGTTCATAAAGTGGGTGTTGGTGAGGTCTGTTGGTGATGCTGACAGGATTGCTAACTCACTCAGTTACCTCTTTTCCTCCCCCTCCCCAGGGTTAACCTGGCTGATCATTCTAATGTCTTCTGTGGTGACCAGCATCACGGGGCTCTCCATCTCGGCCATCTCCACCAACGGCAAGGTCAAAGCAGGTAAGCCGTCTTCCTCTTCACCAAATGGAAGCCAGTCCTTTTGCCCCCCTGTGCTAGGCAACGGCCACATTCATGCCATACCTTTAAAGCAGGAGTAGCCAAACTAAGGCCTGGGGACCGGATCTGGCCCAATCGCCTTCTAAATCCGGTCCATGGATGGTCCGGGAATCAGTGTGTTTTTACATGAGTAGAATGTGTCCTTTTATTTAAAATACATCCCTGGGTTATTTGTGGGGCATAGGAATTCGTTCATATATTTTTTTCAAAATATAGTCCGGCCCCCCACAAGGTCTGAGGGACAGTGGCCCGCCCCCCCTGCTGAAAAAGTTTGTTGACCCCTGGTTTAAAGCACCTTGAGGCCCCTTTCAGCAGTCGTGACTTCCCCCAAAGTATTCTTTGTTAAGGATATTCTGAGTCAATAGAAGACCCCCTATTCCCCTCACAGAGCTACAATTGCCAGAGTGGTTTAGCAGTCAATTCCTCTTCACCGGCAACTTGGGAACTGTAGCTCAGGGGGTGGGGATAAGGGTCTCCTGACGACTGCCAGCACCCTTAGCAGCCCACAGCTCCCAGAATTCTTTGAGGAAACCTACAATTGTTTAAAATGGAGCTTTACGTGTATGGAGCAAATGTGGCCATTGATAAAGGTGGAATGAGCAATAATTGGTAAGTGTGTGGAAACAATATTTGAACATGCTGAAAGTGGGTTGCTGTGGTGTTGCCACAGAGAGCTGCAACAAGGCTGGAGTCAGGAGTCAGCGTTCGCAGACACCTGCCTCACTGCCGGCCCTACTGCCTGTTCCCCTGACCTCTCCGAATGTCTGAACGCTTCCAAGAGTGAGGAGAAGGCTCAGCAGCTTCCAAATGCGTTTCTCTTTCCTTCCAGGAAGAGATGCACATTGAACCCAGGCTTGGAGGGAAGCAAATGAGTGCTGTGTTGACAGTGGCGAGGGTGGGGTAGGGTGGGGTCCACCCAGGAAAGGAGCCCCAATGTGGGTATCTTCCCCTAGGGTCTCTCAAAATATGGGGCCCACACTAAGCTACACAACTTTGCTGGGGGAAATGCTTCCTTCAGAGAAACTGGCTTGAATCCAAATCGCTTCCTCTGAATCAAGCTTTCCCAAACTTGGGTCTCCGGCTGTTTTTGGACTACAACTCCCATCATCGCTGACCCCTGCCTGGTCCTGCTAGCTAGGGATGATGAAGGGAAAAACAGCCGGACACTCAAGTTTGGGAAACTCTGCTCTAAATGGGCTTCTAAGGGATTCCATGTAGCGGCCAATCGGCTGGTCGGTGGTTATAGCCGGCCCCTTTGAAGGTGTGTTCCCAGCACCAATCAGCTGCTTGACACTAGCTGCACATCTTCAGAGCCAGCCCTGAGGAGTAAATAACATCTGAATTGTCTCCTGGCGCAGGGGGTACCTACTTTCTCATCTCCCGCAGCTTGGGCCCAGAGCTCGGCGGCTCCATCGGCCTTCTCTTCTCCTTTGCCAACGCCGTCGCTGTGGGCATGCATGTGGTGGGCTTCTCCGAGACTGTCAAGGACCTCCTTGTGGTACGTGTGGCACGCGCTCCCATGCCATCCTGCCCCATGTATTGGCCTCTACATCCATTTCTTTAGCAACAGTTTGACCTGCAGAAATTATCGGGTGGCCCTGTTGAACTATTCTAGTGTTGGTTGTGGTGTGTTTTTTCTGGCCAAATTGGCAACACTGCATAGGCTCTTCTTAGACAACAACAACAACAAAAGTAAAAACAATATTTATTTTTAATTTATATGCTGCCCATCTGACTGGATTGCCCCAGCACTCTGGGTGGCTTCCAACATAATATCAAAACACAAAAACCTTCAAACATTTTTTTAAAAACCTCCCTGTACAGGGCTGCCTTCAGATGTATTCTAACACTCAGATAGATGTTTATTTCCTGGATGGGGCAAAAATGGGGAAGAAAAGTGATGTCACATGGCAACAGTCTCCTCCCCCAATTTGCACATGCTCATTAGAATATTCTAGTGGAGACACTTATGCTGGGAAGAGGAGCCTTTGGGAGGGGGCAGGGTTGCAGCTTGGTGGCAGAACGTTGGCATCGCATGCAGAAGGTCCCAGGTTCAGTTTTGAGGTATGATAGGAAATGCCCCTTGCCTGAAACCCTGGAGAGCTTCTGCCAGTCATTGTAGTTCTGGGTGAGGAAACTCCCACCTGATCAGTGCCTGGCAGTGTGACTGTCTGGGAGCCACATTTATGCTCCCCTGGGTTCCACAATGGCAGAGGGCACCACTCAACCCCTGAGCTGCCAGCTCTGTTCCCCTGTGCTCTCAGCGATGGACACGAACCAAGGACCCAAAAAGGAGAAGGCAGTCCCAGGGGAGCAGGTCAGACCTGCCTTTGAGGCTTATCTCACCTTCACTCTTCTCCAACAGGAGTTCGATGGGGTGATGAGCGACCCAACAAACGACATCCGCATCGTGGGTGTGATCACCATCACTGTTCTCCTGGGCATCGCCCTGGCTGGCATGGAATGGGAGGCCAAGGTAACTGGAAAGGAAACCATATTTGGATTTGGGTAACGGGGTGCAGTTAAAACAGAGCGCAAAGTTTCAGGAAGCCAGGAGTCCTGGGGCTGTGGCGGTTGGGTGTGTGCGCCAGCTTTGATTTTAGAAAGAGCAGAAGAAGAATTCTCGTCCCGTGGAGAAGAGAAGAGAGGGTGTCAATCAAGAAGAGACCCTGAGAATCAGGGCCAGATAGGGCTGGCTTCCAGTTGGGTGAAGAAAACGTTTGCTAGGAAGCGTGGCTTCATTTAATAATCCCTCTCTTTCCAGGCTCAGGTTGTCTTCTTCTTCGTCATCATGATCTCCTTCATCAATTATTTTGTGGGCACCTTCATCCCAGCCACTCCAGAGAAAATGTCTAAGGGGTACTTCAGCTATCGAAGTAAGGGCTACGTCCTCCACAATCTGTTGTGCCCCAGGCAACCAGCTTCCTCCCAGAACCATTCACCCTGTAAGATTTGCCCTGCTGGGACAAAACAATCCCAGCCTACCTAAAAGAGAGGATCAGCTGACTTCTGGGGCTTGCTTCCCCTTGCTTTCAGCCCAGCTGTATCTTTATCTGACTCCCCCACACCTGACATCAGGTGTGTGCCTTGGCTTGGCCAAAACTGCCTTGCAGGTCAAATGGAGAAGCCTGCTGGGCTAAACGTTCCTCACCTGGGCTAAACGTTCCTCTCGGTAGTGGCTCCTGCCCTGTGGAACGCCCTCCCATCAGATGTCAAAGAAATAAACAACTATCTGACTTTTAGAAGACATCTGAAGGGAGCCCTGTTTAGGGAAGTTTTTAATGATTGATGTTTTAATGTATTTTTAATTGTTTGTTGTAAGCCGCCCAGAGTGGCTGGGGAAACCCAGCCAGATGGGCAGGGTATAAATATTATTATTATTACTATTATCATTATTATTATTATTATTATTATTATTATTATTATCACCACCAGCACCACCCTTGATTCAGAAATTTGGTTTGACTTGATTATCTCTTTAAAAAGCTAGAACATTCTCTTCCTGCCCCACCATTGCGTTTGAGTAAATCTCCTTTCCTTTTCTCTCCTCCTTTTCCAAAGCCAATAACTTCTTGGACAATATCGGCCCTGAATGGCGAGGCGAATCTGGCAGCTTTTTTGGCATGTTCTCCATCTTCTTCCCTTCGGCTACGGGAATCCTGGCTGGTGCCAATATCTCAGGAGACCTCAAGGTAAATTGTTCCGGGTCTGTGTTTTGCTTCTGCTTAATTTAGTCAATAATGAATTGCATTTATATCCCACCTCTCATCCGGGCAGCTCAAGGGGGTGAGGTTGGTTCTCCCCCTCCCCATTTCATCGTCACAACAACCCTGTGACATAGCTGTCAACGTTTTCCTTTTTTAAAGGGAAATTCCCTTATTCCGAATAGGCTTCCTCGCAAGAAAAGGGAAAAGTTGACAGTTTTGCCCTGTGAGGTGGTTGCTATGTGTAACCGTGGGCCCTCACCAGGTCTGCTGGACCCCAGGAATTGTTTGAATCTGATTCATGTATTTTTGATGGCTCTGCCTTTCCCTCCAAAGCCGCTAGCTGGAGTTGCAGCAGCTGAAGGGGGCAAAGGGATGTGTTGTCAAACACCTAGTGGTTTCCCAGCTGTCTGACTTTGTGGAATGGCTGCTGGTGCGAACAGTTCTGGGAGGGGAGGGACCAAAGGGCAACCAGGTGAAGAAGGCCTTGCTGCCTCACCTCTGCCTCCGAAGAGCAGTGAGGTGGAAACGCCCTTGGCCAGTCGTACCCTAAACCCTGCAATTATTGCTCATTGTGCTGTTTCCTTCGCAGGACCCGGCGGTGGCCATCCCCCAGGGAACACTCATGGCTATCTTCCTGACAACCTTGACGTACCTAGCTATCGCTGCCACCATAGGTAAAAAGCTTGCCTACAAGAATGGCGCGTGCCAGGGCTGCGCCAAGACACTTTTGCTGACCCTGAGGGGCCTAGCGGGAAGACAACAACGGATTTAGACCATGTTTGCTGCTTGGTCTCCCAGCGACTTATTTTAAAACGTGAACGCCTTACAATGCTGACTCGTTCCTACGAAAACACACATCATTCATTAGAAATATATTCAAAACAAACCTCTTCCCTGCCCTCAGGGAAGGAGCAGGGTGCTTTAGTAACTCACTGTCGCAGGAATCTCAGGTGGCACATTTCACAGCAATGTAATTATCCAAGACTACATACACCTGGGGCTTTTTTTCAGCCGGAACTTGCCGGAACTCAGTTCTGGCACCTCTCAGGTGGGCACCATTGCCATTATAAGAGAACAAGGGAGGTGTTCATGGTGAGTTCCGGCACCTCTTTTTTCTAGAAGAATAGCACTGCATACACCAGGGGTAGGCAACCTAAGGCTCGTGGGCCAGATGTGGCCCAATTGCCTTCTCAGTCCAGCCCATGGACAGTCCAGGAATCAGTGTGTTTTTACATGAGTAGAATGTGTGCTTTTATTTAAAATGCTTCTCTGGGTTATTTGTGGGGCATAGGAATTTGTTCATTTTATTATTCAAAATATAGTCCAGCCCCCCCACATGTTCTGAGGGATGGTGAACTGGCCCATGGCTGAAAAAGGTTGCTGACCTCTGGCATACAACACCCTGGGAACGATTGTTTACCCTTCATAGACCCAGCGCCCTTAACAAACTACAGTTCCCAGAATTCTTTGGGGTGGAGGGAACATGCTTTATATGCATCATTTTTTAAAAAAATTATTTACTCATTTTTTCAGTGCAAACATCAACCACAAGAAACACACATAACAAAAACCACAATAACACTAATAACACAATTTAACAATTCAGATTTGAGTACTGATATACTACACCTTTTTAACAATATTTCCCCACCTCTCCTCCCCCTACTTCCCACCACTGTCCACCTTATCGCTTAAGTATTCCTTCCAGATTTCTTCATATTTATCCATTCTTAATTTGCGTTGATATGCAATTCGTTCGTATGTAGCTAGTCTGTCCATATTGTCAATCCATGTGCTCAATGGAATCTTTTTGCGGCTCTTCCAATTCATCAAAACAAGTTTTTTTTTATGCCTCATATGCATCATGTGCATGGAGCCATAGTCTGAGGTGGGATGTTTTTACCTGGTGCCTCCCTGCCTCCATTCTATGTATTAAAGTGGATCAGAGGTGCAGCTGAATCATCCTTTGACACGGGCAGAGCAATAGTGTCTCCCACGGCACCTGAAGGCAGCGGGATCACATAGCAGACGCTGCACGGCTTGGTCTGCTCCCTGCCACCTGCCCCATAGCAACTGCTTGACCTCCTGGCTTTGCCCTTCCCCTGCTCAGCCCATGGGGCTCTCATGGCCACAAGAAGCCCTTCACCTCAAAATAAATAAATAATGGCGGCCTTTCCTCTTGCCAGGCACCTGTATGGTCCGCGACGCCTCCGGCAACCTGAACGACACCATGGCGTCCGCCAACTTCACCAGCGGGGACTGCGTTGGCCGGGCCTGCGAATACGGGTGGAATTTCACTGAGTGCACCGTGGCTGGGACTTGCGAATATGGTTTGGCTAATGACTACCAGGTAGGGGAAGCCGGTGTTCCTGCCTCTCCTCCCTTGGCTCTCTGTGGGACAGGACTGAGGCCTTGTAGCCGCATTTTGGGTTTACTGGGGTTCTCCTCCCCCTCCCATAATACGGTTTTGTCGTTGCCTCCCTTGTCTCTTAGACCATGAGCTTGGTGTCTGCGTTCAGCCCCCTCATCACAGCTGGGATCTTTGCGGCCACCCTCTCCTCAGCTTTGGCCTGCCTCGTCTCTGCCCCCAAGGTCTTCCAGGTAATTTGGGGAAACCGTGTGTGTTTGTGTGTGTGTGTTATACCCAAGCTCTGCTTGGAGTTCAAGATGTAAGGAAGGCTGTGGAGGCTGACCCACTGGGCCCCATGGGGCACTGCCCCATCAACTTGTCTGCCCGTACCTGCCTTGCCCGTCTTTTTTGCTTACAACTACCCCAGAGGTGACCCTGGCAGTCAACTTCCTTCTAAACCCCACAGAACTCAAATTACAGGAAACCCCCACATTTACACGCTTTTCGAGCAACTGCGCACATGCACATTGCGCTGAACCCGGAAATGACCCGCAAACCTCACCGAAAGAGGCAGGCGAAAAACCGGGCTGTTTGCAAGCTTTCTTGATGGTGTTTCACCAGCGCTTGTAGTGCCTCGGAACGTAAACTCCTCTTAAATATTGGGGGGTGGTATTTGCCTGTAATTGACCCTGCCTGTCATCAGCTCTAGCAAAACCTATGGTTTGTTTGCTTGTTTCATGAAATAATATATACTGCTTGACTGTAAAAAACAACAACAAAAAACTCAAAGCAATTTATGGAAAGATAAAACGAGAAAATCGAATTTGCAGCAGTGCTTTAAAATGTAGAAAAGTTAAAATACTGAAACGGATCAAAGTTATTTCAACTTTCTAAGGGCCTGGGTAGGCTTGTCGCAACAAGAATGTCTGGGTAGGGACGCAGGTGGTGCTGTGGGTTAAACCACTGAGCCTAAGACTTGCCGATCAGAAGGTCGGCAGTTTGAATCCCCGCGATGGGGTGAGCTCCTGTTGCTCGGTCCCTGCTCCTGCCAACCTAGCAGCTTGAAAGCACGTCAAAGTGCAAGTAGATAAATAGGTACCACTCTGGCGGGAAGGTAAACGGCGTTTCCGGTGCTGCTCTGGTTTGCCAGAAGTGGATTAGTCATGCAGGGCACATGACCCGGAAGCTGTACGTCGGCTCCCTCGGCCAGTAAAGCGAGATGAGCGCCGCAACCCCAGAGTCGGCCACAACTGGACCTAATGGTCAGGGGTCCCTTTACCTTCACCTTTAGGCTTGTCTCAACAAGAATGTTTTTAGCAGATGCCGAAAAGGGAGCTGTGGAGGTCCATGCTTTAATCTCAATAGGCTTTGCTGCCTTCCATCCTGCATAGCAGGGGGTTGGACTAGATGACCCTTCCAGTTTTGCAGTTCTATGATAGCACGAGCCTACCAGTCTCAATAGGGACGCAGGTGGTGCTGTGGGTTAAACCACTGAGCCTAGGACTTGCCGATCAGAAGGTCGGCAGTTTGAATCCCCGCGATGGGGTGAGCTCCTGTTGCTCGGGCCCTGCTCCTGCCAACCTAGGAGTTTGAAATAACTGTGAAGATCTCTCCCATTGGACATCTCCCTCCAGTGTGGCCTAGTGGTTAAGAGCGGTGGACTCGTAATCTGGTAAACCCGGTTCGCTTCCCCGCTCCTCCACATGCAGCTGCTGGGTGACCTTGGGCTAGTCACACTTCTCTGAAGTTTCTCAGCCCCACTCACCTCACAGAGGGTTTGTTTTGGGGGAGGAAGAGAAAGGAGATTGTTAGCCGCCTTGAGACTCCTTAGGGTAGTGATAAAGCGGGGTATCAAATCCAAACTCCTCTTCTTCTTCTTCCTTCTCATTTGTGCTCCTCTCCCCGCCCCCCCAGTGCCTTTGCGAGGACAATCTCTACCCCCTCATTGGCTTCTTCGCAAAAGGATATGGAAAGAACAAGGAGCCGTTGAGGGCCTATGCTCTGACCTTCCTCATAGCTGTTGCCTTCATCCTCATTGGTAAGCGAGACCACCTCCCCTCCCTTATTTATCAGACCCGCAATTTCCACCCCTGGAAGCTATTATTTTGTGATTGACACAGTGAGCTTCAGGGCTGAGTGGAGATTCTAAACCTGGTCTCCCAGGTCATTGTCCAATATTCTAGCCAGGACACCACACTGGCATTTGGGTGTCAGGCCACGGCATTCCAGTTTTCCCAGGCTTTGGGTCATTCGTTGAGATCATAGGGTGGTATTCAACTATGTTGAGTTTTATACAGAGTGGAGCTCTTGAAATTAATGGACCTCACTCAGCCATGTGTCTTAATTTCAATAGGTCCACACTAACTTAAAACTAGCATAGTACCCAAACTGTTGCATGCTTTCTGGTATATCTCGTGGTGTTCATTTTTTAGTAGGGTGGGGGTACAGCAATCCTTTTTATAATTTTAGGGATTTTGCTCCATCGTTTTTCTCAAATACTTGATTTTTTTCCCCTTATGGGGGCCATGCTGCTTTTGTCGGTCACTTTGTGACTTTTGTGTGTGTTTGGGGTTAAGGAATAAATGGGTGTACAGTGGTACCTCAGGTTACATATGCTTCAGGTTACAAATGCTTCAGGTTACAGACTCCGCTAACCCAGAAATAGTACCTCGGGTTAAGAACTTTGCTTCAGGATGAGAACAGAAATCGTGCCCCAGCAGCGCGGCGGCAGCAGGAGGCCCCCATTAGCTAAAGTGGTGCTTCAGGTTAAGAACAGTTTCAGGTTAAGAACGGACCTCCGGAATGAATTAAGTACTTAACCGGAGGTACCACTGTAATAAATAAAATAATAATAAACAAACAAATAGCACAGACATGAACGGCCTCCCTCGGGAGGTTGTGGACTCTCCTTCCTTGGGGGGGGGGGGTTAAGCAGTGGTTGAATGGCCATCTGTCGTGGCTGCTTTAGCTGAGATTCCTGCATTGCGGGAATGACCCTCAGGGCCCCTCACAATGCTATGATTCTATGAAATTAGCAGCGTTGAATGCTAGCTGCTTGAGTAGAGCATACAAGAGCACCCCCCCATCCCATCCCCTGTTCTGTGCCAGAATACAGTGCCTCCTTGTTTACCTTTCCTTTCTTTGCCTCTGCAGCGGATCTGAACACCATCGCCCCCGTCATCTCCAATTTCTTCTTGTGCTCTTATGCCCTCATCAACTTCAGCTGCTTCCATGCCACCATCACCAACTCCCCAGGTAAGGTGGGTGGTGGGCAGGTGGGCTGTGTGGGAGGTAGAAATGGTGTATTGGGGGGGAGGGGTATGAGGCAGGAAAGAGCAAACATGTCCTTCTGGGAAAGACGAATGAGCCTATAGGCTGGGCAACTTGTACCAGGCAGGAACGGGTTGGTCTGCATTGCATTCACAGCGAGCTTTTCCCAGTTGAGCCACTGCCAGGAAGGCTGGGGTGAGAAGTGAAAGGGGCAGAGGAAGGTCCTGATTTGGGCCATGGCACTCTCCTTAGGCCACACTGCCTCCCCTACCCCTTCCCCACCTGAATCTTCCTGCTTAAACAGCTTGCTGCTTTTCCTCCCTGTGCCCCCTTTCCTCAGAATGAGGAAAGCAAGCTGGAAAAGAGGTTTTGTATGCAAGGGTAAGAGCGGTGTGTGTGTGTGTGTGTGTGTGTGTAAAAGTGTGTAAGGTATGTGTGTTTTTAGCCTTAATAATAATAATAATAGTAATAATAATAGTAATAATAATTTATTACTTATACGCCGCGCATCTGGCCGGGCCTCCCCAGCCAGTCGGTGGCTTCCAACAGAATATTAAAAACACGATAAAACGTCAGACATTAAAAACTTCCCTAAACAGGGCTGCCTTCAGATGTCTTCTAAAAGTCAGATAGTTGTTTATTTTCTTGACATCTGGTGGGAAGGCGTTCCACAGGGCGGGCACCAACAAGGCCCTCTGCTTGGTTCCCTGGTTCTCGCAGGGATATTCAGTCCCTGTCCACTTTTCCCAGAGTAAATTTAACCATTAGCAAAGATCTCCTCGCCATATTCTCTTCTGTCTTCTCCATTTTATCCTCACGACAACAACCCTTGTTGAGAGAGAAGCCCAAATTTAACCCAGTGAACTTCATGGCTGAGTGGAGGTTTGAGTGTCTTCTGAGTTCCGCACAAGATTCTGGACCTGCATGGCCAACCAGCAGACATTTGGAGGGAAATCGGTAGCCTCAAATACCTTTGAGGGGCCACGTGCATGTGTGTAGAGTTGTGTTAGGTCAATGATAGGATAAACCAGGGTGACATCTGGGCTCCCTCTCTGTGTGCAATACCTTTTGATCTCACCTGTGTTCCCCCATCATCACCATCCTCCAGGCTGGAGGCCCTCCTTCCGCTACTTCAGCAAATGGACAGCCCTGTTTGGCGCCATTGTCTCCGTGGTCATCATGTTCCTGCTGAATTGGTGGTCGGCCCTCATTGTCATCGGGATCATCGTCGTGAGCTTGGCCTACACCACCTACAAGAAACCAGGTGAGGGGAGCCTGGCGTTGGATCTGAGAAGCAAAGGGTGGGGTGTGGGTAGAACGCCCCAGATCTCCACACCTTCTTCCCAGCTTAGTTTATAGAAAGAGCTGTGAACTTCAGGTCCAAATGTCAAGGAGTCCTGGTCAAGGCTTATTTATGAATTCTTCATCATTGTGAGGACTATACCACGTTGTGGGTGCTATGCCTCTCCCGCTTAAGGCAGCATGTGCCTCGCCAGCGCCAACCACTGGAACCTTCTCAGCTGGAGGAGATTTTATTTCTTAACCCAATTCACAGAATCCCAAAGTATCATACCATGTTAAACAGCCCCACCCCCCGATAGTTTCTTAAGGGTGCCTAGAGTTGCTAAGGGAACTCTCTCAGAGCTACCGTTCCCAGAGTAGTTTAATAATAATACCTTTATTGTCAATGTACAACCTGTGTACAATGAAATTAAATTTAACAGTCAATCCATCTTCCTTGGGAACTCTGGGAACTGTAGTTCTGTGAGAGGAAGATGGGGGTTTCCCAACAACTCTCAGCACCCTTGACAAACTACACTTCCCAGGATCCTTTGGCTTTAAATGTATCATGCAGCTGGGGCCCAATCAGCTGGTGGCCAGGGCTTGAATAGCACCATGTGCAACTCCTTTCAAGCTCCTTTCAAGCAGTGTGCTGGCAAGGGCCGATGGGAATTGTAGTCTGAAACTTCTGGAGAGTTGGGAAGCCTGGGCAAGGAGGGCAAATAGCCTTACGTCAGGCAAGATCATCTCCCTGTGTCCTGAAGTGGATCCTTCAGTGTGGGGTACCCCTCTAGGTCCTTCTAGTATCTGAATCCATCGCAGAAGGTAGATATGGACTAAAGCTCTTCTTCCTTTCTCTCCCCTGCCCACAGAGGTAAACTGGGGTTCCTCAGTGCAGGCTGGCACCTACAATATGGCCCTGTCAAATGCAGTGAACCTGAACGACGTAGAGGACCACGTCAAGAATTTTCGGTGAGGGAGCTACTTTAGGTCCATGAGCCAGATTTCCTTGGTGCTGTTCCCCTTTCTGGGGTGGGGTTGTTCAAAGACTGGGGAGGCACAGCACAATCCCGTGCATCATGTTTACTCGGAAGTAACTTGTACTATGCTCACTGGAGCTTGCATTTTAGGATTGCAGCCTTCAGCGTAAACTCGGGGTTAAAAATGGTCACACCCATGCCATCCATTTAAAGCACGCTTATACAATTTTAAACAGCCATGGCTTTCCCCAGAGTAGCCTTCTCCTTGAGAGGTCTGGAGGGTGGCAACATGAGAACAGGCCTTTTTTGCAGTGGCTCCCCGTCTGTGGAATGCTCTCCCCAGGGACGTTCACCTGGCACCTTCATTACACACCTTTAGGCACTAGGCAAAAATGTTCCTTTTTAACCAGGCCTTTGATTGATCTGATTTACATCCTAAGCCCTTTAAAAATGTGTGGTGGTTTTGTTTTCGGGGGGTGCTATTGGGTTTTTATTTTTATTTTTATTATGTATTTTGTGGTTTTATATCTTGATTTTTTTCTGTGAAACCCCCCCTGAGACCCCCAGGTATAGGGCAGTATATACATTCAATAATAAAATAAAATCCTGGGAACTGCAGTTTGCTAAGGTTACTCAGAGTTGTTAGGAGTCACCCTGCCCCCAGAACTACAAATCCCAGTAATCAACTAAGTGGCCCCTAGTTACAGCTCTTTCACCTTCCTAGGCCTCAGTGTCTGGTCCTCTCGGGCCCACCCAGCTTCCGCCCAGCCCTGGTGGACTTTGTCAACGCCTTCACCAAGAAAGTGAGCCTCATGATATGTGGGAACGTGGCTGAGGTGAGTTTACCTGCCCCGAGAGGGCCTTGTGGGGGTTGATGGAAAGAAAAGAGGCCGGGGAAATCTGACGAGCTGGGATGGATGCTGCCATTTTTAACAGACTATCAATCTTTTTATTGCATGGTCAGCTGGGAGACTCCTCATGCTTCGAAAACTACAACGAACAACTCCAGTGGCTCAGCACGCGCAAGATCCGCTCTTTTTACAACTTCATCACAACAGGGGACCTGAGAGCTGGAGCCAGGAGCCTCATGCAGGTGTGTAAGGGTGTGTCTTGACCTAGAGGGGTCGTTTTAACATTGGGAGTGGGGCAACAAAGGCAGAGGGCAGATCCACACCATAGATTTACAGCACATCCGCCGTACATTACTTCCTCCAGAGAATCCTGGGAACTGCAGTACAGTGGTACCTTGGGTTACAAACACCTCGGGTTACAGACTCTGCTAACCTGGAAGCAGTACCTCAGGTTAAGAACTTTGCCCCAGGATGAGAACAGAAATCATGTGCCGGCAGCAGGAGGCCCCTAAGGTGGTACCTCAGGTTAAGAGTGGTTTCAGGTTAAGAACGGACCCCCAGAACAAATTAAGTTCATAACCAGAGGTACCACTGTATGTTAAGGGTGCTGGGAATTGTAGTTCTGGGAGGGGAAAACAACAGATTCTTGTGGAGGGGAGCCGTTTGCTTAAAATGTGCATCGGAGGTGCTTTAAGTGTATGGCACGATCTGTCCAGAGATGCCAAAAAGCATGAAGGGATGGAGGACATTGATGTGCGTAGTTTGAGAGTGGAGCTCTTAATTCCTCTGTACACATGTGGATGCTAGGGTGCTCCCTCGCGCAGCAAGAGGGGCCAGGGAGTTCAGCTTCCTGTCCTTCCAATTCCTTCCCCTCATCTAAGATGGGTGAGAATGAACCAAAAGCCCCAGATCCAATCTGTGACTCAAACGAGGAACCTTCAGACCTGTGTGAGACTTCCCTGTGTGGTGAGCCACAGAACTGCATGTTGCAACATCTGCCCCTGGCAATTCAGTGTCTGCAGTCCCCTGGATTGGCCTTGCCCACCAAGACTGGTCCTCGGGTCCTCCTGGACCATAAGAAGGTTCCCTGCTCGAGTTCAGTCTTCCTCAAGAAGCAAGGTCTTCCTGAGACCTGTTGTGCCATCTGGCTTGGCCTCTGGTCCTGAATTCTGCCTTCTTTCTCAACCCTGGTCCCAGGGTTTTCCCTTTGTCTTTGCCTTCTCTCTGGTTCCGAATATTGGCCTCACTCCTGGTTCTTGGCTCACCTCGGAGATCAGCCCATGATGCCCTCTGAAAAGGAAGTCGAGGAGGAAGGGGCAGGAAGAAAGGCCTCTGCTTGGGACACTGAAGAGCAGTGGCCAGGCATAAGGACATGAGTCCTGCTGGATTTCTGTCCTTTATACAGCTACAGGTTAATGGCAGCCCCTGCGCTCTCTCTCTCTCTCTCTCTCTCTCTCTAGGTCTCAGGTCTCGGGCGACTCAAACCCAACACCATGGTCCTGGGCTTCAAGCAGGATTGGCAGACCGACAGTCCGCAGAACCTGGAGAATTACGTGGGCATAATACAGTAAGGGCATGGAGGCGACGGGAAGGGGAAGCAGCGGAGGGTTTAGGAGACTGGGCTTAAACTGGTTTCAACAAAATGTACCGGATGCTTAGAGGAATGTGTGTTTGCAAAGCCAGTGGGCTGTATGGCCCATACATGCCTGATGGCAAGACCTCTGAAAGATAATGTTTCCTCCCTTTTATAGCAGGGTGGGGATGCTCTAACCTTCTAGTTGTTTTTGGACTCAGTCCATCAGCCCCCAGCCAGCATGGCCAATGGGGAAGGGTCACCTGTTCCACATCATGCCTTGGCTTGCCTGGAGGGAGGAAGATAATGTGTGTCAAAACCTCTGGCTATTGAGTGGCTGGAATGGAGGCACCTGCTTTGCCTCTGGCCCTTGCCCCACCACTCATATCTGGCCCCTGGAAGGTTGCCCATGAAGCAGTGCGGCCCTCGGGATGAAAAGGCTTCTCTACTCCTGGTTTCAACCAATTCCAGCAGCAGCAAAGAGTCTTAGTCAGGTGGGCCGAAGTGCATACATAATGTCTGGCAATTCTTTTCCTTGGCCCAGAGCCCCTGCTTTCTTGAAAGGACTAATTGGGCAGAATACAACTTTGCACATGTTCAGAGGTGCTCTCTTCACGAGATAACCTCATTAAGTAGGGAGAGACCACGTTGCATGTTGATCTCTACAGCTCTCTCTTCTCCCCCTTTCCCCGGTTGCAGCGACACTTTTGATTTCAGCGCCGGAGTGTGCCTAGTCCGGATGCGCGATGGACTGGATGTGTCGCGGAAGGTGAAAGCGCAAGGTGGGTGTGTCCAGGAAAGGGGGCGGGGCCTGAAAATGCTGGAGGCTGTAAGGCCTCCGTCTAGTTCTGGAAGAAGAGGGTACTTGAAAGAGGGAGCTGTCCTTGGTGGCAAAACGCTCAGCGGCTCTTGTGGTTGCTCCAAGGCTAGCAGAAGCAAAACAGATTTGGCAAAGCAGTAAATGCTATGTCTAAAGAGAGAAAGAGTGGATGAAATATCTTAATTTGCATCATTCGTTCTGGTGTTGTTGGCTTCTTAAAAAAACAACAACACAGCCTCAACTAATCCTCTCTTCATCTCTCTCCGCAACAGTGAACATGGGCTTTGAAGACTCGGAAGCAGCGCTGGGCAAAGAGAAACGGAAGTGTAAGTTGGACGCCTTGAGTGAGGCTGCTCTAAAAAGAAAAAATGTGGTTTAGTAGAATGAGCTAAAGGACTCTTGAGTAGACAAAGCCCTCCCTGGCAGGGGTGCTCTGGCCATGTCCCTACTTGGGCTGAATAGGGGTTTGAATGAAGGTGTTCCAGGCCCAAAACTCAGGAGCTTCAAAAATGAGTACTAGAAGCTTGAAACATACTGTTTAACTGTAAATTTTAATTTGGGTTTCTGATATTTTTATGCTTTAGTGGGTTTTTGTTTTTTTACTGTGTGTTTTAATCACGCAGCGCATATTTGAATTGTGGATATCTTAATTATGGATGTTCATATGTTAATGATTGTGCAATTGACCTATTTGCTAGGAAACCACTAAGAAGCCAATCCTGGCACCAAGCCTTAGCTTAGTTAATTAACTAACTAATAATGTGGGGGTGCTAGAGGGGAATCGCTGCAAAGACTCCCCCCATTCATTTACTCTTCTCTGCAGGTGACAGCTACAAAGTTGTCGGTGCTGACACACACCTGGAAACCTATTTCCAGGGCAACCAGAAGAAGAAAAACATTGACATCTATTGGCTCTTCGATGATGGCGGTACGTATGGTTCCTTCCGAGTTTAAGTTTGCTCCTATCATCATCATCATTTCTATACCACCTTTCTTCCAAAGATCACAGGGTGGTTTACAATATTAAAAACACATAGCATACTAACAACCAAAGCAACAGCCCCCACGCATAGTTTAAAAGGTCCTAGAATGATTGTTTAATTAATAACGTGCTATACATCTGAGCCCAACCCAATTCTGGTTTCCTAGCAACGTAATTTCCCCCTCACTGACCGTCTCCCAAGGAGAGCCCAAATGGTGCAGTGTGCTCCCTTTCTAGAGGAGCGGAGGCCTTGCACCCCATTTCCTTCTGGGGGCAGGGATTTGAGCATCAAGAAAAGGCTACAGGGAGCACACGGCCGTTGCTTCTCTTCCTAAATTCGGAATCCATCTTTGTGGGTGGAGGAGTTGTGAACAGAAAGGGAGAGTTGTGTGGTCTGAGACTCAACAGGGTGGAGAGCACTGCCATTGCAAGTTGGGGTCTACTAGCGGACTTCCATCTGGTTGGCCGCTGGGAGAAGAGGGTTTTGGACCAGATGGGCCTTTGGCCTGATTCCCTGGGGCTTCACTTACATCCTTATGACTTTCCGCCTCCTGCTTCCTGGCTCCACAGGGCTCACCCTCCTCATTCCCTACCTCCTCACCCGCCGGAAACGTTGGAGTCATTGCAAAGTCCGGGTCTTCATCAGCGGGCAGATCGCGAATGCTGAAGAGCACAGAGAAGAGTAAGAGGCTGGGATTGGGGGCTGGAATAATGAAAGCCAAATTAAAACGCTTCCCCTGTAAAGGAGGAGGAGCTGGTGAGCTTCTCGGAAGTTAATGGAGGGCTGATCCAAAACTTCAGGCTAGGTCCACTGGAAGATAGTTTGCCCTTTGGTGCCGGATTGTCCCAGGCACTACAAGGGCGTGAGCCATAAGTCATTGTCCTGCTTTTTGCCTGTGTTCTCCTTAATTCCAAGCTTTTATCCGTTGGCTTTCTTTTTCCACAATCAAGTTTTTGATGTATATTAATTCATTATAAACACACACACACACACACACACGCACACACACGTACATGCGAAATACAGAAAGTGAGAGAAATTCATGCAGAAGAGAGAATTTTGACAGGTCCATCTTTTCACACCATCATGCCACAGGAGCCAGAAGAGCTGCGCTTGTTGACATTCCTTCTTATGCCCATTTATTATGCTGTTTATTTATTTATACGCCACTTAAATTTACACTGCATTTCTTGTATTTAAGACACTTAACATGCCGCTTAAATTTACGCTGCCTTTCTTGTATTTAAAGCACAAACAAAAATGGGGCAATGAAACAATAAAAATTCACCAAAAAAATATTGTAAAGGGGTAGGAACCATTGCAACCACAGTGAAACATCTTCGTACCTTCTGGTCTCCTCGCGGTTAGTAGAGAAATACTTGTCCCCTTTCCCCCCATTCCCAATTTCTGTCTTTCTCCTCCTGATTTGCAGGATCCATCTTTTGTTGACCAAATTCCGCCTGGGATTCACCGAGGTCGTGGTGCTGCCTGAAATAATGTGGAGGCCGGAAGAAACAAGGTGAATGCCCTGGGCCCCCCCTCGTTCTTTGCTCCCTGAGGTCTTGTCTTTGTCCCACAATCCCTCCGCCCCAACCTCAAACAGAAACCCCGCTTCTAACTCAGCAGCCCTCAAAGCTAGTAGCTTGGGGGGGGGGGCAGGCTTTTTCTGCAACATGTCACTGATGCAATAATAGTGGTGGATTCATACCCATTCACACATCATTCTGCAAAACTTCCCCATTGCTGTTGCTGGAGGGCCAACTCCCTTGCACGTTAACCAGCAGACAGGAGAAGAAGAAATCCCAGAACATTTGCAGTATTAAAAAGCTACAAGAAGTTACAGGGTATGCACAGATTGGAAACGAAGCAAGATGTCTGCGCGGAAACCTCTGCAGGCGCAAACAGTATTGAAAGTGGGATCATGTGTACAACCTAGAACAATTTCAGACCACAATCCAGTTGTATTAACATTAAGGGGAAAGGGGGAAAGAGAGTCTAGGAGATGGAGGATGAATGTAGCGTTACTTAATGATGAAAAAATATTGCAAGGAGCTAAAGAATTAATGAAAGAATGTTTTGATCTAAATTGCAACCAGGCCAGAGGTTACTTTATGCAACATAAATCAATTAGAAGGAAAAAGAGAGAGAATAAAAAATTAGACTTGCCTGGAGGGGCATTTAGTGCGAGTTCCTCTTGTTACAATTCTTGCTCACCAGTGACAGTCTAGCAAGGTTGTGTATTTTGTGAATGATGAGCGCTCTACAAAATGGGTGAGGATGTTTTGAAATACACAGCTGTTACTCAAGTTGCCATTTTGAGCTTGGAATTTTCACCCAGGAGAGAAACAGGGCAGAGCGAGAGGAATAGTCATTGTCTACATCTGACGTCACCAGCAGCCCTTAGCTTTGCAGCGAGAAAGAACCATTTTCTTACTACTGTCCCTAGTGGGTTGGGACATTTCAGGGTCTTTATGACTTTTTGCAATTTTTTTTTTATAAAAAAGACTCTCACAAATTCAGCCCTTGACTTTCCTGTGCCTCTTGACAGTACTGCTTTGGTGAAACACTACAAGCAAGCAAAGGCAGACTGGAAAACAGATGTCTAGACCATATATCTACATATATTTAAAGCTAACCTCTGTACATTCATACATTTTGAAAGCAACAGGTTTGGTGCCTCCCTGCTTCCCCCACTTGGGAGTCTGTGCAAAAAGCCTTGAGGTTCCAACCCCAAATTGTTCCATAGGCCGGGATTGTTGTTTCCACTTAAGAATACAGTTCCTTCATGTGGTTTGGGCCCTTCCTCCCGTTTCTCCATTTTGCTCTGCTCTGTCTTCCCAACTTTGGCTTGACTTGTTCCCCTTCTTCCCTCCCTCCCCCACCTTCCTATCATGGCAGTCGCAAAGAATTTGAGGACCTCATAGCTCCCTTCCGGCTCAATGAAGGCCAGAAAGGCCAGGAAACCGTGGAAGAGATGCAAAAGGATGCACCATGGAAGGTCACAGACGAAGACCTCCGAGTCTACAAGAAGAAGGTGGGGTTTTTTTATGGATTCTGTCCCCAGTGTTTGAGGGTCCTGGGCAAGGGGGTGCCTTAATTCAGTTCGTATTAAAAATTGAACCTACCTAATTTGCACTTCCTAAAACAATGTGCGAACCAAAACAGAGAGCCGTCCTTCGTAATCCAAAGTGGTGGGAGTTTTCTGGAGGCCGGTAGCTTCCCATTCTGGTTCCAATAGGGCGAAAGAGTCTACTGAGGTTTAAAGGAGCGTGATAGGGGGAAGGGGTGACCAAAATTCACTTTTAACACGTCTCTCTTCCTCCTTTTCCAACATGGCGTCTTCAGTCTGAACAGCACATGCGTCTACATGAGATACTTCAAGACCACTCTAGGAATGCAGCCCTCATTGTCATGTGAGTCACTTCCCTCCTTTTTTCTTCTTCAAACATTGAGATCCCTGAATGGGGTGGTTTTGCCCCTGTCCCATGATTCTTGTGCACACACCCCATTGGGTTCCTTCTGATTTCTGACAGAAGATCCACACCATGTGGTTGAGACATAATGTAACAGATGCAGCCTTCATAGGAATGGGGGACCTGTGGCCCTCTAGATTTTGTTGGACTACAACTCCCATTATCCCTGACCATTGGCCATGCTGCCTGGGGCTGATGTGAGCCATAGTCAATAACATCTGGAAGGCCACAGGTTCCCCATCCCTGCTCTGAAGCAGGTTTCCCAAACTTAGGTCTCCAGATTTATTTATTTTTTAGACTACAACTCCCATCATTCCAAGCTAGCAGGACCAGTGGTCAGGAACGAGGGGAACTGTAGTGCAGAAACAGCTGGAGACCTTGTTTCGGAAACCCTGCTCTAGGGGCTTGTAGGCCTGGTGGCAAACTCTCTCAGGGCCCAGGGTGACCCCAAGCAACCAGCTGCTGGTCCCCATTTCTCTGAAGGGTGGGTGAAACAACAGTCATCGTCCCCCATGTTGTGGTGGTGATAGTAAGGGCCACATATATTCCAATTCTGCCCATGAAGAGAATTCGGCACTGGGTGCAAAAAATCAGGAGCTGGTCCAAAAATAAAAGAAAATTCTCGGCTTTCTGAACACAAGTTCCTAGCACACAAAACTACCTTGATACTAAACATTGGGTCCATCTAGCTCAGTAGAGTTCACACTGGCCAGCTCCCAGGTTTTTGAACAGGGGACATTAACAGCCCTACCAGGAAATGCGAGGAATTGAACCTGGGACCTTCTACATGGAAAGAGGATAATCTACCACTAAGTTATAGTCATACCTCTGCTCCCGAACGCCTTGGGAGTCGAACGTTCTTGCTCCCGAACGATCGAAAACCGGAAGTGATTGTTCTGGTTTTCAAACGTTGTTTTGGAAGCCGAACGTCTGAGGGGCTTCCGATTGGCTACAGGAAGCTCCTGCAGCCAATCAGAAGCCACGCTTTAGAAGTTGAACGTTTTGGAAGTCGAACGGACTTCTGGAACGGATTCTGTTCGACTTCTGAGGTACGACTGTATAGCTCTTTCCTGGAATAATTGGTTCCAGAGGAGTGGGACAAGCATCAGTATCTTACAGCAGTGCAGAACGTTGGCTGCCATAGGCCAAAACAGGCACTGAGGGCCTGTTTTTAAAGAAAACATTTTTAATGGATTAGTTACTTGCAATACTACTAATAATAATAATTTATTTATACCCACCCATCTGGCCGAATTTCCCCAGCCACTCTGGGCTGCTCCCAATCGAGTATTAAAAACAACACAGCATTAATATTAAAAACTTCTCTAAACAGGGCTGCCTTCAGATGTCGCAAGCAGCCCACCCTCTCTCATGTGCCTTCCCGTTTTATTTATTTATCCCACCTTTCCTCCAAGGAGTCTTACATAGGTTGTTCTCCTCTTCCTCCCCACATTATCCTCACAATAACCCTGTGAAATGGGGTTAGGCTGAGAGTGAGCGACTGGCCCAGTGGGGATTTGAACCCGTCTCCCGCGTCCTAGTTAAACGCTCTTAACATTCTCCCTACCCTCCCTCTGTTTTTCTAGGAGCCTCCCGGTGGTACGGAAAGGGGCCTGCCCAAGCGCCCTCTACATGGCCTGGCTCGAGATGGTCTCCAAGGGCCTTCACCCGCCGGTCGTCTTCATCCGAGGCAACCAGGAGGATGCTCTCACCCTCTACTGCCAGTAGGAGGCAGCGCTGTATCAAGGGAGTGCCGTGCGAGAGACTATTTGAAGCCCTAATTGTGACACTGCAGCCTCATTGCTAACACAGACTCCAGAGACAGGCATATTTTGGCTCTGCCATCTGCAAAAATAAGCCAAAGGACTGGTTTCTGTGTCTCCAAAAAGCAGGGACGTGTTCTGAGGGGATTCTGCAACCGAGCATTAAGTTTCTTCGTTTCCATTTTCCAGGATTGTACCTGATGGACTTGAAAGCTCTAAAGTACTGATTTCCTGGGGGTTCTGTGCTTTGAAGCCTGGGAGCATCTGTAAATATTAAATACGTTTTAAATATTGTTGGTTAACGACGTCTGGGGCTCCTGCCCTGTGAGTTGTTCTTGGCTTTTTCAAGCAAAGCCGCCGAAATCACACAAAGGGAGTCGCTGGAGACTGCAGTGCCAGAACAGGTTTTAACACCAGGGACTAGACGCTTGATGTTGATGCGGAAATCCCAGGCGGGGGAGAGAAGGTTCTGCGAATGTAGCAAAGCGGGAGAGAAAGGTGAGTTTAGCAGAGGAAGGAATTCTAGAAAGGAGAATTATTCCCATTTTAGAGAATGGAAAACTGAGATCTGGCAAACTATCTAATGCCAATGAGAGTCTGATCCTCTCTACCTACACCGGAGTGTGGGGAACACAGGCCCTGGGGCCAAATGTATCCCTTCAAGAGAGAGAGAGTTTGGATTTGATATCCTGCTTTATCACTACCCGAAGGAGTCTCAAAGCGGCTAACATTCTCCTTTCCCTTCCTCCCCCACAACAAGCACTCTGTGAGGTGAGCGGGGCTGAGAGACTTCAGAGAAGTATGACTGGCCCAAGGTCACCCAGCAGCTGCATGTGGAGGAGCGGGGAATCAAACCCGGTTCACCAGATTATGAGTCTACCGCTCTTAACCACTACACCACACTGGCTCTCAAGGCTCATCTTGTGTTTATCTGGCCCTCTAGATTCTCCCCAGACAGCACCCCTTCCCTAGCCACCACCACGCTGTCTTCCAAGGGCACACCCCTCAACAGTTCTGCTACACACCCTCCTTGAGTATTTCTGCCTCGCAGGAATGTGTTCTTGAACCCTGAGAATACCTCTTGCTGGCCTGGGTGACAATGGAGAGGTGTGTGGTGTACAAGCTAGCAGACTGCACAAAAGGTAACAATTGCATGTGTGGCCCCCCAGCAAAGAAGATGGCCCTCAGGCTGGGGGGGGGGGAGAGATTCCCCACCTCTGTCCTCCATGGTCCCTCTTGGTTAGGTCTTGGGTTGCTCAAGTAAGCCCACCCACAAATCACACCTTAGTTTTCCGAAAGGAAGAAGGTACATTGCACACACACACACCTTTTTCTATTCACGCAATAGCTTCTGCGGCCTAGGACAGAAAACACCACAGGAGCTTCTAAACAAAAACCAAAGCGTTTATTCTGGTTTGAATTAGTTTCCCATCAAATGTCCATGGAGAGTCAAGCAACCCTGGTATTCCTGCCCGCAATGTCTATGTATCCGGCTGTTTATTGCCTTCAGGAGACATGCATGCAGAGAGAAGGGGTGGTCAGTCCCGCCAAGTCACCTCCACTTCGTCCGTACGATACCTGCGGAAAGGTGGGGAAAAGCCAGATTGAGGCTGCATTCAGGCAGCGCTTTGTTCTGTCTGCCCAACTTTCCCTTACCTGTAAAAAAATTTCATGTTATGGTTCCCTACCATTGAGGTCAGGGCTAGCATCAAAAATAAGGTTCCACCATCTCTGTTTGATAGCTGCTGAAGCAACATTGGAGCACTGCTCTCCTGCAGTGGGCTTGGAGTAGGCCTTGCTTGAGATCTGCACTCAAGATACCCTCCCCCACCTCACAAAACAAGGCACAGTCACCTCTGTGTAATCCACGAATCCTGAAGTGCAGTGATTTGCCCGGATCGGAACATCTCCCAGCCAGCTTGTGCAATCATGGCCCCGTTGTCAATGCAGAACCTGGACAGAAAACGGGCAGAGAAGAATAACGGTTAAAGGGGTGTTGAGGTGGTGTCGGCGATGCTGGGACTTCTGGGCTCACCCCTAGCTTGGAGTTTTACTGCCTCTGTATTAATAAAACAATAAGCTGCATGGGGCCACACGTCCACAAAATGCAAAGATGCCATTTAGGTGCTTCTAGGTAAAGCTCAATGTGGTATCATTCACAATGCATGTCCCCTTATCTTGCGGTACGAATTTAACATCTGCAGTGGGAGAGCAAACTCTTGTCTTGATTGAGGCCCAGGTGAATAAAATCAAACTTGCTCAGCCTATATTTTGCATATCTGACAACGTGGGCCCACAAAAGCTTCCAAAAATAAGGCTTGAAGATGCCACGAGATTCTTGGTTGCTTTTGCTGCAAAATACTTTTTAACAAAAGGGCGCAGCTACCCCTCTGCGTTAACCATGTTTATGAATCTGAAAAACAGCTTTGGGAAACCATTCTGATTCAGACTCATGAGAGCCCAAATCTGGGAGGGTCTTGGAATCAAAGCAGGCAGGTGGAAGCTTACCTTTCATCCGTAGCAAAGAGTTTTGCTCCTCTTTCCTTGCACATGATTCCCATCATCTCCTGCAGCCGCTCATTACCTGGAGAGGAAGAACACAGGGAATGCATGCTGTGCATTCAGTGAGGGCAAACAGACAACATGCCAGAAAAAGCACATTTGTATGTTCGGTACCTGCCTACCTCCAACGAGGGAAGAACCTAACTCAGGCATAGGCAAACTCGACCCTCCAAATGTTTTGAGACTACAATTCCCATCATCCCTGACCACTGGTCCTGTTAGCTAGGGATGATGGGAGTTGTAGTCCCAAAACATCTGGAGGGCAGAGTTTGCCTTTGCCTGACCTAACAGGTGGGTGGGTGGGTCTCAGTCTTGGCTGTCTATAGCAACCCTAGCCTTCTTCAAGATCAGGATAGTGTTCTTGAACTTTGGGTCTTGTTGGACTACAACTCCCATCATCCACAGCCAGTTTAGCCAACGGTCAAGGATGATGGGAGTTGTAGTCCATCAACATCTGTGGACCCAAGGTTAAAGAACACTGCCCTGGTGGACACAGGTAGTTTGGATTTTGTTTCCACAGAACAGTTGTGGGTATAAAATGAGGAACGTAAGAGGAGTCTACTGACCAGGCCAATACCCCATCCAGCCCAGCATCCTGGTCTCAAAGTGGCCAAACTTTGTGGGAAGCCCACAAGCAGGACCTGAGCACAAAAAGCCCTCTCCCCACCTGTAATTCCTAGCAACTCATATTTAGAGTCATATACTGCCTCTGGCTGTGGAGAAAGAACGTAGTTATTGTGTCTAGTAGTCACTGATAGCCTTATCCTCCATGAATTTGCCTAATCCTCTTTTTAAAGACATCCAAGTTGGCAGCCATCTTGGATCAGAAATGGTAACTTGAGTTGAGACACATACGTGGAAATCTCCAAATTAGAAAGGGCTGAGCCAGAGTTTTTAAAGAAGCATTTATTGCTGGATGAAACACAGGTGAGAAAATTAAGGATTTTGAAGACAGAAACAGTGGGGAAGCAATTAGATGTGACACCGTTCAACGGAGGCTGAAAACAGAGGGTCCCAGCTCAGTTTTGAGAGCATACTGGGAGCGATGAGAAAGAACTGGGGAGGGGGAGCGACGCAGATGGAGCCCCTGTGTAGCTCAAATTGCTCTGAGGACTTGTTTGGGGAATGAGAGATGGGAGGAGAATTCGGAACGCGAACGGGGCAGCGGCTTCAGCCATTCACACCACACTTGCTTGGTGACACTTACAGCCAACGCCACCCACGATCAGTGCCTCATGAGAACCTGTGTGTGCCATGGCCCGTTCCGTTATCTCCACCAGCATAGCGAACAGAGTCTCCTGGTGGGCAGAGAGAAACCAAAACAGACAAAACAATTATGAAGACATCAATTTTTGAGTCTTGCGTGTAGGCCACAGGTTGAGCCCTGGATTTATGTGGGCATCATAATTAGGCGCCCACTGCCACAGTGGGTACCATTGCCCACTCACTGGTCCCACCCTTTTCCATCTCTGGGCACAAAGTGCGTCACCCTCTCCTGCCTGCCCTGATGGGTAAGGAGAGGAGCCAGGCCCTTCATAGTTGCTAAGCAACCTCTAAAGAGGCCTGTCGCCTCTTTCTTGGTTGACCTGGAAGAAGCTGATACACTAAGTTGGTCTAGAAAGCACCATTGTTGCTCGTTCCTCCTCAAATAGGACTGAAAATCAGCTGCTCAGGAGGATGGACCAGAAATGCTTTTGCCCAACAGTGGGTGGCCTTGAAAGGGCCACAAGCTCAGCGGTAGAGCATCAGAACATCCCAGGTTCTGTTCCCATAATCTCCAGACAGGGCTGAGAGAGATCTCCTACGTGAAACCCTGGAGAGCATCAATACCTGTCCTAGTAGACAACAACAACAACAACAACAACAACAATAATAATTTATTATTTATACCCCCGCCCATCTGGCTGGTTTCCCCAGCTGCTCTGGGCGGCTTCCAGCAGAACACAAAAATACAATAACCTATTAAACATTAAAAGTTTTCCTAAACAGGGCTGCATTCAGATGTCTTCTAAAAGTCTGGTAGTTGTTTTTCTCTTTGCCATCTGGTGGGAGGGTGTTCCACAGGGTAGGTGCCACTACCGAGAAGGCCCTCTGCCAGGTTCCCTGTAACTTGGCTTCTCACAGCAAGGGAACCGCCAGAAGGCCCTCGGCGCTGGACCTCAGTGTCTGGGCAGAACAATGGGGGTGGAGACGCTCCTTCAGGTATACTGAACTGAGGCCGTTGAGCTAGATGCACCAATGGTCTGACTCAAGCAACTTCCTATGTTCATATGACAACCCTAGAGGCGGCATATCAGCCCCATCCTAGGCCTTGGTCTGGTTAGTTCCTCACCTGTAGGGAGAAGCAGAGGTCCTCTGGAGTACATTCTTTTGCAGCTAGCATCCTATGAGCCACTTCCTGCACAGGGAGAGGAAGAGAAGGGGGAATGAAGAAGGGTTGCCACCGTTTTTGCTGGCAAGGCTGCTGTGCAGCTACAAGCAGGCACGAACTCGACCCATTCTCCTGCCTTGAAGTCAGACTATAGTTTGAAAGAAGTCCCATGCCTGTCATCCAGCATTCAAGGGCAGAAGAAAGCCCAACACACAGAGAGAAAGGTGACATGGAAGATAACAAGAGTCAACCTTACCTCTATATGGGATAAGATCCCAGAGAATGACACATCCATGCCTTTCACTGTATAGGGGAGTTCCACCAGCTTTTGGCCCCTGTGTAGGGAGCAGAATGTGTTAAGTCCCCCTCTCACAACTCCAGGCTGTTTAATAGGTGCCCAGTCCCCTTAGAATCCAGTTTGTCTGTGTCCATTTTTTAAAAATGCACCACAACATGCTAGGCCTCATTAAAATTGTGGGGAAAGGCATCCAATACATGCACCTTGGGACAAATTTATACAATTGTCTGTGACAGGAAAGAAGTGGATTTGTGTGTTATATTTTTAATACATAAAATGAGTCTTCCCGAGGATATAGCTAGGCATTGGGCAACCTAAAACCTTGTTGATGAGAAATATACACAGTGGGGGTATCATCGGGATTTTCCTGCCACAAATAATCTTGTGAACTCACATTTTTAATTATTATTTACTTGTAGAATAAATTTTATATTATGTTAAATCATTGTAATTCATTATTTTGCTTTTTAAGTATATCGTTCTTATAATCATCACACTTTCCTTCTACATGATGCCATAACAAGGCACAAGAGTCATGTCCCCCATTTCAGGGTCTCGTCAGCTGCCACACTTGGAGGACTTTCAGCATCCTCTTCTGCAGTGCCCACCCCCCCACCCCCCGAGTGAGGATGTGGTTCTCCTGTCATCCTCAGGAATGACTCCCTCTGTAGCTTCTGCTACTCTGCAGCCACACAGGTGCACGAGACTGCAGAACTGGCCACAGGGCCCTTGAAGGGTTGCAGACAGTCCTCCCCAGGGACGTAGAACCACTGGAAGAGAAGACTCTGCCTGCCTTGGGGTAACTTAGGACCTTCGCTGGGAGAGCATCTTCCATACCTAAGCCAACAAGGCTCACTGGGAGCTGTTCAGGGTCCTGATCTGCTGTGCCTTGACCTGACTTGCCTAGACTTGAGGTGCTGGTAATTGTGACTACTTCCCCTGTGGGGGTCCCGATCCCCAGCAGAACAGGGTCTACGTCCCTGCCCTGCAATCTGTAATCTCAGCTTTGCTTAGTAAAATTAATTACCGTATTTTTTGCACCATAACACTCACTTTTTTCCTCCTAGAAAGTAAGAGGAAATGTCTGTGCGTGTTATGGAGCGAATGCCTGCGGGTGGCAGGGGGGATCTGCTGCAGTCGTGAGCAGAGGATCCATGGTTCCCCTTCCTTCCCTCCTCCGTGGTTACAAAGCATGGATCCACATGGATCCTCAGGATTTTTGCATTGGGCTACTCCAAACTCACTGTCAGATCACGTGTCTGTGGCCACAGCATGAACCACAAAAATCATATATCCACAATTTCGTTTAGAATATTTTTTTTCTTGTTTTCCTCCTCTAAAAACTACGTGCGTGTTATGGTCTGGTGCATGTTATAGAGAGAAAAATACGGTGTGTGTATGTATGTGTATATATATATATATATATATATATATATATATATATATACTGCATACAATTTATATATTGCATACAAAAGGCTGAAAATGGGGAATATAGCATTTGTGGAAAGCTCAGGAAGCCCCCAAAAAGCCTGTTAGGATGGACTTTTAGCAGTTGGGATCAATCCCAATTTGGGATGTGCCCCAAACAGGACACTTTTCCTTTTGCATTTACTGGCAATTCCTAGTCCCTTTTCTTCTCCCGAATGCTGGGTGTAGATTAAACTATTACTGAACAACTTTCTCCGAAGCCGGGGTGGGATTGAGAATGAAACAGAAAACCCAGTGCAATTCATGCAGCTAGTGAAAAATTTAACATGTTTGCACAAAATGTGTGTATGTCTTTTTTTCTTTTTACATTACTCACTTCTTGGCCATCTGTTCAATGTTGTAGCCCGGGCTGGGATCATTTGAGATCTAAGTCGAGAGAGGCAACACAGCTGTCAGAACTCTATACGGCCTCATAAGGCACCATCACGCTTCCCATCACACAGAACCAGCCAGATCAACCATTGGAGAGCCATTTGGCTATGTACGATACTCATTCCGTGAGAGTAGCCCTACCAAATGAGAGTTCCACCTGCTGAGCGACAGTCAGAGAAAGGTGGAGAGGGATAGAAATTGCACACGAGGAGAAACAGGGAAGCTATCACTTGGATCTCGCCTTCCATTTTCTGCATCTCTGGCAGCTGATGTTCCCTTCTCCGCCCCCCTCGAAGTCATAAGGAAAATCAGCCACCAAGGTGAAGGAGAAGGAGAGATGGAGAAGAGGAAAGTAAACAGGAGGAGAGAAGCAGCCAATTATTTCTCCATCACTTTGTGCGTCACTTCTATCCCCACCCCTCTCAGACTCAGGCAGGTAAGGTAATGGGCCCGGAGAGGGGGGGGACTGGCCTGCTCTTAATTATTTATTACATTTATATACCACTTTTTCCTTGAAGAAGAAGAGTTTGGATTTGATATCCCACTTTATCACTACCCTGACGAGTCTCAAAGCAGCTAACAATCTCCTTTTCCCTTCCTCCCCCACAACAAACACTTTGTGAGGTGAGTGAGGCTGAGAGACTTCAGAGAAGTGTGACTAGCCCAAGGTCACCCAGCAGCTGCATGTGGAGGAGCGGAGACGCGAACCCGGTTCGCCAGATTACGAGTCCACTGCTCTTAACCACTACACCACACTGGTGGTGAACAAGTTTCTCCTCCTCCCCATTTTATCCGTAGTTGTCTCTAGGGCTGGGTGTTATATCAATATATTGTTCAAAACCGGTTTGAAATCCATATAGTGCTATCGGTTTCATAATTTTTGACCTGGCAATATATCACGAATCATGATATGTGTGTGCTGTGCAAAAATCACAATGTGGCAAAAACCGGGAAGCTAATCAGTGCCTCTACGTAGCTTCATCCTTATTTCAGACATGGTGACGTATCAGGATACCGCGGTGTTTAGCTGGTGATGTATCGCGATGTTGAAAACCAGGTATCGCCCAGTCCTAGTTGTCTCGCCTTTCAGTTGCTCACCTTCAACACCCGAGCAAAGCGGTCCAGGCAGTTCCCTACGGCGATGTCGATGGTTTCTCCAAATATACGATATCGGTGCTCAGAATATGCAATAACCTGAGTGTGGGGTGGGGAGGAGAGGAGAGGAGAAAGAGACGATGCCCAGGACACCTCCAGACCATACGTCTAAAGCACACTCAGAGAGAGTGCGGCGTAACACCTTAAGTGCTGAGCTAGGGTTGAAATCTCCAAGCAGTGGGATGGGGAGCCAGCCAGCCAATACAAAAGATGAAATAAATTAAGAGGGGGAATAATAATAATAATTTTTTATTTATACCCCACCCTCCCCAGGCAAGGCCGGGCTCAGGGCGGCTAACAAGCAATAATAAAAACAAGTTGAATGAATACAACTTAAAAACAAGATTAAAATACAACATTAAAATATTGAAACATTAAAATATTAAAATGCAGCCTCATCACAGGAGGAGAAAGGAAAAAGAAAAAAGAAAGAGGGGGAGGGGAGGGAATCAAATTGGCTCCAAGCCAAAGGCCAGGCGGAACAACTCTGTCTTACAGGCCCTGCGGAAAGAAATCAGATCCTGCATAGCCCTGGTCTCATGAGGCAGAGCGTTCCACCAGGCCGGAGCCAGTGTTGAGAAGGCCCTGGCTCTGGTTGAAGCTAATCTAACTTCCTTAGGGCCCGGGACTACTAGGGTGTTGCTATTTATGGACCTTGAGGCTCTCCATGGGGCATACCGTGAGAGGCGGTCTGTAGGTACGATGGTCCTAGAAATTGGGAGGGGGGGAAGACACCTATATTTTCCCTCCACTGTCAGAGGAGAGAGAACCTATGAAGAGCCTTTCTGGATCAGGCCAAGTGCTCATCTCCCAGCATCCTCTTCTCACAGTGGCTGAACAGATGCCCATGATGGGGAACCCCCAAGCCAGACCTGAGCACAAGAGCCCTCTCCCTGCCTGCGCTTTCCAGAAACATACTGCCTCCTACAATGTAAGTAGAGCAAAGCCATCCCAGTTAGTAGCTTTGTTGGACTACAACTCCCATTATCCATGACCACGGGCCATGCTGGCTGATGGAAACTGCAGAACGTCAACAACATCTGGAAGGCCACAGGTTGCCCTCTCCTTGCTGTAGTGTTCAAAACACAGCAAGACTCGGGACGGAGAACTGTGGAAAGGGCAGGAAATATATATTTCGCCCCCCCCAAATGGCTAAAGGGTTCATTGAGGAGCACCCAAGTACAAAACTCTGAATACCAGCTGCGGGGAATCACACCTGGGGAGAGTTGCTGTTGCGTTTGGGTCTTCCTTGTGGACTTCTCGAGGCATTTGGTTGGCCACTGTGAGAACAAGATCTTACCTGTGTGTTTCCACCGCTGACGTACAACACGGTCGGGTTCTGGGCACCAGTTATCAGCCGCCCCATCTCGATGTGTCCCACGCAGTGATTCACCCCAAGCAAAGGCTTCCCCCACAGCTGGGCCACTGTCCGTGCCACAACTGCTACAGTCACCAATGGGGCACCCATGCCTGGACCTGGATAAGGGAGGGGAAAAGATGTTTAAGGCCAACAGGACCAGATGGAATTTGCCTCTCTCACATCCTAATTGCAACTCTGCTTTCCTCAATACTCTTCATTGTTTCCACCCAAGAACTATTCGTGTTATTATCATAAAACTGCCACCTTATCATAAAATATCAAGGTGGGATACGATAGAAAATGTGGCCCTCCAGGTTTCTATCTCTGGCCCTCAGGCCTCTGCTCAGGCCCCGCCCCCTCCTTGGCCCTGCCCCACACCAGCTCAAGTGCTTTCGCCTGGCTGAAATGTTTCCTTGAACTGTGGCAATGCTGCCTCTTGTTTCCTGAATGCAGAGAGATGCATTTGAAGGAACCTCCGACCTGGTCTTCAAGGTCAACTGTCTGGTAAGTCTCCTTGAGGAATCCAAAATGGCGGCTGCCCAGCAAGAATTATGTGAGGGACTCACCCTTGGTGAAAGCCACAGCATCAATGTCCTGTGGCTTCAGCCCAGCCTCCTGCAAGGCCTCCTGAAGCACGTCAAGGATACAAGCCCGGTGGTGGCACGCAGTGTCACTTGGCAAGAAACCTGGAATGTGGAGGAAGGAAAAAGGCATCAGGACAGGGAGACATGGAAAGCTGAAGGCAGATCTGTTAAGGAGGGCTGCGCTAACTCAGTGTATATTGCCTGCCTTCTCTCTGTCCACACTCCTCTGCACACCCACCAGAAACCCAAATTGTGTATCAAGAGAAAGTATTACACAAATGTTTGTAGAACTCGGAATGGCAAGGAAGAAGCGTACTCAGGGCTGTCTCTGTGTACACTGAGATTCTGCAGCAGCAGATAATTCAAATCCTGAAGATTGCAGCTTTAAACAAACAAAACAAAACAGCAGCCATGTTCCTAAACCTTACGATGGAGAAGCTATGCTTGAAAATGCATTGGCAAGGTCTCAGAAGCCAAAGTGACAGTCAAATACTGCCCTGCCCCTAACTAGCAAAACATGAATTAATAATGCTAAAGAGAGCTGGAATTATGCAAAATATAATTCCAGAAAAAAAGAGAGAGGGCAACTTATTCAAAGTTGTTCAATTCCCATCTCATGCATGGGTTCTGGCTCGGTGTAGGATTTGGACGAAGCAGAAAATGGGACATTCCTTCAGTGCAGGGTACATGCACCCCAGGGAACACAGGGCGGAGGAATCAAGTGGCAGAACGGCTACACTCACCCTGCCCTGGAGGAGTGACATATGTTCGCCGAGGGTTGCTCAGCACCTCTCCATCCCGCACGATCCCCACTCCAATCTTGTTGGCACTGCCCTCAAAGCCTATCACCACAGGCATGGCATCCTGGAAAGCCAGAGAAAGACAGACAGACAGACAGACAGACAGAGAGATAATTTTTACTTTGTTGCAAAGAGGCACCATGTTGCCTCCAACCCACCAGAGGCAGTTTTAGGGTGACATGACCAGTTTGGCCGCACTGGACACAGTACTGCAAGGGGACCACAACAATGCTGTAGAACTGAGCACAAGAGGCATGCACCGAATTTTAATGTTGCACAGGGGGCCGTAGAAATTTGAGAGCCAAAGTCTGCCACTGAGCCCATTATGAAGAAAACAGAGTACAATCACAAACGTGTATCAGAACCACCCCCGGTTTCCCACTTCTCCCTTTCCTGCCCTGGTATGTATGTATGTATTTATTTATTTATTTCCTTTACACCCTTGTGCAAATTAATTGAAACAAACAATGTGGTTTATTGTACAAAACTCACATATACGTACATTAGTAATGGATATGACCTCCGCTACTTTTAAGCAGCATTTGAACACGGTTTGGCATGGAGTCTACTAGTTTCGAACAGTCACTGTTGATTTTTGGATCCCTATACTACACTTGAATCAGCACCTGAATGAGCTTCTCCATAGTCATACAGTCTACAGCACAGAGGCGACTTTTGCATATAGCCTCAATGGGATTTACGTCTAGGGAATTCCCTGGCCAATCAAGTATGTACCTGTATTTGCTGCTCTGTCATGAATTTCTTCACCACTTTCGATGTGTGACAGGGGGCTAGGTCCTGCTGCAATATCCCAGTACCGTCAGGATACCTCTTTTCCAGCTCTGTAATAACTCTCTTCTATTGGCTGCAGGCTTCCGACACCATAATGATCAACTGACTGCGTGTTTGTTTTGAGTACAGGATTACGAGTAAGATAGAAAATATGCTTTGTTTCAATTAATTTGCACAAGGCTGTACAGTGGTACCTCAGGTTACAAACGCTTCAGGTTACATACTCCGCTAACACAGAAATAGTGCTTCAGGTTAAGAACTTTGCTTCAGTTTGAGAACAAAAATCGTGCTCCGGTGGCGCGGCGGCAGCAGGAGGCCCCGTTAGCTAAAGTGGTGCTTCAGGTTAAGAACAGTTTCAGGTTAAGAACGGACCTCCAGAACGAATTAAGTTCTTAACCCAAGGTACCACTGTATGTCCATTGGTTCCAAGCTTCTCAAGTCACCATGCGGGGAAACTGTGCCCCACGGTTTGAGAACTGGCTCTAAAATAAGAAACAGCCCCAAGAAGGTTTGAGTGGGCAATCCTGTGCAGGAAAAGGCCCCAAATATTTTGCTGCCTGAGGCAAAGGACAAATGGTGCGCACACCCACCCATTCCACCCACAGAAGCCAACAGAACTGGCAGGTGCACCTCACTGGAACACAGCCAATGGGACAGCATTCCCCACCACATCAGGGTAGTGTAAGGAGACGCAAGCAGACTGCGTGGCACACACAGCTCAGTCCTCCAATAGCTCTCCGCTGTTTGCCACCCAACATCCCATCTGCAAGGAGCTCAAGGTGGTGTTCCTGATTCTCCTGCTCCTCATTTAAACTTCACAGACTCAAGGTCATACAGTGAGCTTCATGACAGAACCCTGATCTTCAGGTCCTCATCTGACACTCTAAACAACACATCACACTGGCTCTCCATGCTATTATAATAAACATACAGTAATAGCCATTTAGTTGACAGGCAGATATGCCTGTCCACTTTTTTGCCACTCTGGTGGGCATGTGCAAGAAGGTGGCTAAAGAGCACGTGCTTGACATTTGTCTGACCTGAGAGTTTTCTCTTTCTATCCAAGATTTAGCTCAAGCTTTAGTTACACTGGGAGAAAAAACGGGGCAGTTCCAGCTCTGGCTACCAGGTTTTAATCAGGTCGTTGACAAAAAAGAGGGTATTAGGGGATGGTGTAGGTTTTGCAAACTCAGTGCAGGTTGAAAGGGCTGAGCCTGTTTAGCCTGGAGAAAATTAAGAGATGTTGGCAGCTGCCTCCAAACATCTGAAGATGGAGCAAACTTCGTCTCTGTTGCTCTAGTGGTCAGAACTAGAATAAATAGGTAGAAATCGCAGAGATTTGGGCCAAAGTTTTATGGGAAACTTATTAACTGTAAGGGCTCTTCTACGGTGAAGCAGATTGCCTCGGCAGGTGGCTGTGGACTACAACTTCCATCATCCCTCACTGCTAGCTGCACTGGTTAGGGCTGATGGGAGTTGGAGTCCAATAGACTGTGCGCTGTTGGGTTAACCCCTTTCAAGGACCTGAAATGAAGGGTTCTCGCCTTGATCTCGTCTCCCATCTGCGGGAGAGTTATTGCACGTGTGAATCGGGGACCTCCGGGGGCCCTGCCTCCTCCTCCTAGCGTTGCGGAGCATTTGCTTAGCGTAGCGCACTGGGAGCTGCGAAGAAGAGGAGCAAAGGAAATAGCCAGAGGCGGGCTTACAATCTCTTCCCCCCCAGTTCAGAGGGTGGCGATGGGCTCCACGTGGGTTCTCTGTCTCCCCGCTTCCGTGTCTTTGCCCTGATCCAAGTTTGCAGCTGCAGAAACTCAAGACTGCGAGATGAGGATGATGGTGATGATGAGAGGAAGAACCGGAGGCGGGGATTGGAGGGGGAAAGGCGGGGAGGGGGAGAGAAACTCCGGAGAGATTTAAACTGCAGCGCCTCCTCCTCTTTGATTATAGGCAACGAGAAAGAGGCAGAGAATCTAGAGATAGAAAAAAGGCAGCCAGCCCTCGACTTCTGGTTTTCATTCGACCACCTCCATATGCGGAAGGAACTCAAGCATAGGCATTTTAATAACAAATTTTAAAAAGCATTGCTTCTCTTTAAGAGCCTTGCTGGATCAGACCCAGCGCCACATTCTTATCATCGCAGAAGGCAGCGAGATACCAACCCTTGGCATGAACGCATGGCTCTCTCTCTCTCCTCCTGCGAGTCCTAGCCACTCACTGGCATTCAGAGCGATGCTGCCTCCGGCAATGGAACATAATCATCTTTTTTTTTAATCCTGTGCAAACCCTCCCGCCCCCCCGATTTATTTTATTTAGCGTTGGCCGCCCCCCCTCCCAGAGTTCAACTGAGAACCTAAGGTGTTGATATAACTCCAGTAAAACTTGTGACTCCCCTTTGGGGCGGAGCTGCCCAGAGAGAATCCCGATACGTCATCAACCACCGAACGTCTTCTACTCCCTCTCCACGTGACACCCCTATGATTCTTTAACCCTTCATGCCACTACTGTCCATACCCTTTCCTCCATCAAAACCAAGGCAATCTCCCCTCTCGCTTTCAGAGAGCCCCGCCCTCTCAGGCCCTTTTCAGCAGCCTGTGTCACGTGATACAAATCCACTCCACGTGCTGCTCTCCCGGGCTCTCCATTCTCCTTGCGCGCGTGCGAGCTCTGCAGTCTCCGCCTTTGTCTCTGGGGAACGGAGGGATCCTGGTGCGGTAAGAGCAGGAGGAGAAATAATTGGAAATAATAATTATTTTATTTTATTAATTGCATGATTTATACAGAAACGAAGGGGGAAGCTGGTCTTCTGTCTTTGCAGAGGGAGGGTGTATGGATAAGGTAGTTTCTCCTCCCCGCTTTTTGTTCCCTCTTCTCCCCGGAAGGCCTTTAAAGGTGCCTTTAAAAGTTGTGCGGCAGGTGAAATCTCAGCTGGTGCAGATTTCATTGTAGTTGCATGGCAGGGAACCCACAACCAAGTGGTGCATATGCAATCGCAGTTCCATAGCAGGTAAAAATCCAGTTGGTGCAGAATTCATCGTGGTTGCATGACAGGTAAAAATCGAACTGGTTCAGTCCCCCACTATTGCATCTTGCTAAGACTTGAATTGGCTAGAAGCTTAATCCAGTCTAGTGTCTATGCCTTATATATTTCTGTGCTCTGGGCAGCTGTAGCAGAGAGTGGTGACGTCTTGTCAGGGCACTGTCATTTGATCTGGGGGAATTATAATAATTGGCTAAGAATGAGCAGATATTTGTGGAGCAAAAAGGCACTTTGCTGGGTGGAAAGTCGCCCATGCAGTGTTTTCAGGTTAGCATTATTAGGGGACTTATTATAAATAATAATAATTAGGGGATTCGTCTTAAGAAGAGCCTGCTGGATTAGGCCAAAGGCCCATCCAGTATCCTGTTCTCATAGTAGCCAGCCAGAAATGTATGGGAAACCCACAAGCAAGACTTGAATGCCAACAGCACTCTCTCCCCACTTGTGATTCCGGCAAATGGTATTCAGAGGCAGAACACAGTCATCTCATCTTTATCCTCCGTGAATTTGCCTAATCTTTTAAAGCCACCAAAGTCAATGGGGCTTATGGCACTGAAGGTGCCTGTTTGGAGGACATTTGGGAGTGTTTACCATCATGATCCTTCCTCCCCAGGAGACAACGTTGCTGTTCAATAGCCTGCTGCAGGCCAGGTTGCGCTGCCAGCTGCCTAGGGTAGGATCCAGCTGGGCACCTACGATGCCAAAACGGGGCAAGAAGAAGGAAGGTGAAGCCCTTCCTGATGAGAAGGAGGCAGTGGCAGGTCAGTGTCTTCAGTCTTGGCAATAAAGATGGATTTGAATATGGATGGAACTTATATGATACTTGAGATAGATATTTTTAGGACTTACCCTGTTCTTGTGGCTCTAATTTGTTATATATTGCTGTAACTTGCTTTGGTACTATTTTTTTGAGGGATGGATATGAAATTAAATTGTTATTTTTATTATTATTACTACTACTACTAAGAATAATCTTTCAGATGTTTTGTGTGTCATAGTCTTTCTCTCAAACCTACTACAAGGTGGGGAATTGAGTGAACTTGGAGGGCTGGATCCAGAACTAACCCAAACTCTGTGAGACATTTTTGATAGGTGGGTGGATTTCCTGATGTCATTATGGCATCAGGTGATTGACAGTTGCAAGCCTCAAAGAGGAGGCAGGCTTACCTTCGATTTTAGTGCTGTGGGCCCATCTTTCAATGAGATGTCACTATCTTTCAATGTAACTAGTCTTCCCCACAGTGTTACTGTGAATATAAAATATTAGGATGGGGAGAAAGAGAACTTTGTACACAGCCTTGAACTCTGTGAAGGAAATGTATTAATGAAGCAAGTAATCTATTTTATTATTTATAAATATAATAAATAATATTGCATGCCCAGCGGGTTGTATACTGCTTCGTAGCTGAGTAGGAATTTGAACCCTGGTCTCCTAGGTCCTAGCTCAACCCTCTAACCAACACACTGGCTTGTAATCCTACGTTGCCAGCCCTGGAGTTAAATAAAACTGCTTCCCTGGTGTTCCTCTGCCCCAGTCTTGGTTCCTGTGTGGCATCTTTATATGTCTGTTTGTTTGTGTGAATGAATGAATGACACACATGTGCTTGGATCCAGCCTTGCAAATAAATCCACAGAACCAGCCTGCCTCCCCGCCCAATCCACTAGGCTACATGCCTACACTGACAATATTCATATATGGACAAAAGAAAAACTGAAGCTTATAAACCACCACTATCTATAATAATAATAATAATAATAATTTATTATTTGTACCCCGCCCATCTGGCTGGGTTTCCCCAGCCACTCTGGGCGGCTTCCATAGAAACAAAAAATACAGTAAAATATCACAGATTAAAAGCTTCCTGAACAGGGCTGCCTTAAGATGCCTTCTAAATGTCAGGTAGTTATTTATCGCTTTGACATCTGATGGGAGGGTGTTCCACAGGGCGGGCGCCACTACCGAGAAGGCCCTCTGCCTGGTTCCCTGTAGCTTTGCCTCTCGCAATGAGGGAACCGCCAGAAGGCCCTCGGTGCTGGACCTCAGCGTCCGGGCAGAACGATGGGGGTGGAGACGCTCCTTCAGGTATACTGGGCCGAGGCCGTTTAGGGCTTTAAAGGTCAACACCAACACTTTGAATTGTGCTCGGAAACGTACTGGGAGCCAATGTAGGTCTTTCAGGAACGGTGTTATGTGGTCTCGGCGGCCGCCCCCAGTCACCAGTCTAGCTGCCGCATTCTGGATTAATTGTAGTTTCCGGGTCACCTTCAAAGGTAGCCCCACGTAGAGCGCATTGCAGTAGTCCAAGCGGGAGATAACTAGAGCATGCACCACTCTGGCATCTAGTTGCTAGGGACGCGGGTGGCGCTGTGGGTTAAACCACAGAGGTTAGGACTTGCGGATCAGAAGGTCGGTGGTTCGAATCCCCACGACGGGATGAGCTCCCGTTGCTCGGTCCCTGCTCCTGCCAACCTAGCAGTTCAAAAGCATGTCAAAGTGCAAGTAGATAAATAGGTATCGCTCCAGCGGGAAGCTAAACAGCGTTTCCGTGCGCTGCTCTGGTTCGCCAGAAGCGGCTTAGTCATGTTGGCCACATGACCCGGAAGCTGTACGCCTGTTCCTTCGGCCAATAAAGCGAGATGAGCGCCACAACCCCAGAGTCGGCCATGACTGGACCTAATGGTCAGGGGTCCCTTTACCTATACCTAGTTGCTTGGAGGAAAATGTTGTTGGCTACATGAAATCAGGCAAGTAGGTCTTTGCAAACCTTACATGGAACCCCAATGTTTCTCGTAACTGATGGAAAAGCAAATTGTTTCTTACTCTTCACTCTTTATTCTTGCCAGAACCAGAGCCTAAGAAGGCTAAGAAAGGTGGGGCGAAAGCTGAGAAGGAGGCCGATGGTCCAATCCTGTACCAAGACCCCCCTGACAAACTCACCTCTCCCAGTGGCAAGAAATACACCTTGAAGGTCACCTCCTGGAATGTTGACGGGATCCGAGCCTGGTTTAAGAAGAAGGGGCTGGAGGTAAGGCATAAGAATAGGCTCAACCGGTAGAGGCTGATCCCTGAGGGGGAACGGGGGGGGGGCACTGCCCAGTTGACCCCAGTCTGCCCTCACAGCCCCATCTGCCTGCCTTCCTGCTTTCATCCTGTACTTTCATCCTGTACCAGCTTCTTACTCCTCCATCTCAGTCTTGCCCCCTGGAGACAAAATGAGAATTGCGTTGGCCAAGCCTTTCCTTGACTGGCCATTCCCCTGCTTTATGGGCTCCCTGCCTTCCACCCTCCCAGAATATGACCTGGGATCCATTTATCCCATGACTGTTCATAGATCTTGCCCCCCCCCCTTCCATGAATTTTTTGATTCCATTTCAAAGAGGCCGTCGTCGCCACATCTCATGGTCTGTGAATTCCACAGATTGGTTCTGGGTTCCATGAAGGAGTCTTTCTGTTTGCGTGTCCTGGATTTGACGCCAATTAATTTATTCGGGTGATGACTTCTGAATGCAAGTAATGGTGTGGGATGTATGTCTTCCTCCTCCCATGTGCCTCCCTTCTCTCTCTGTACTTTATTTTGAGCATAATTTTGTAAAAAGCTTGAGTCTCTTTAGCGGTTTTCCCCACCCCAGTATCTAAAGTAGAAAAAGCCTTGCATGGTGTAGTTCAGGAGTGGGGAGCTTGCGGTCCTTCAGTTGTTGCTGGACTCCAAATCCCATCAGCCCCAGCCAGCATGGTATGATGGGAATAGGAGTGCCAGATCTGGAGGGCCACAGTTGAGCTACGTTGGACGAAAGCCTCTGCCTGGCAGTTTGTGTCCTTCCCTGCTCCCCTTCCACCTTCGTTACAGCCGTTTCCCCTGAGTTGCGCTTCACCATGGCTACCCATCGCGTTAAATGTTTCCTTGGAGATGATGTAGCCCCTCGAGGGAGAGTTGCATTCCCACCCTCTCATGGAGAAGCAATTAGGAGCCAGTGGTATGGCAACCAGACGTCCTTCTGGGTAAACTGGGGAATCCCCCTGGGACTGCAGGAAGCAAGCAACTGAGCCTGTGAAGGCCAACAACCAGGGCAATCTATTTGTATCCTACCTTTCCTCTGCTTCTGAGGGAAGAGTTGAGCCACAGTGAGGCCTTCTCTGTCACGGGGCGATAGACTGGGACTAAAGCAACCTTTTGCTCTTCCCCTCCCAGAACAGACTTCTCAGTAGCGATGTAGGAGTGCAAGTGAGGGCTGCAACAAAATGTTGCTGTGCAGAATGCTCCCATTCTGGGTGCCAGCCAGCCACGCCCTGTTGCAGGGTGCTCCATTCCGTTCTCCCATCTGGCTTTGTCATCTACCCCCCCCACCCCCACCCTCAAATACTCAGCATTCCTTTGCATGCTCAGGCTTTATTGGACTAGGTTTTTTGTTTTGTTTTATAGGGATGTTCTTACATTTTTGCTCCCCTAAAGACTGTTTGCAAATATTGGGGATTCCCAGATATTGCTTAATGCCCCTCTCATTTCTGTGCGGTGCTGTTTTGGTACATAAGAGCCAAGGAATTTGGGAACTGTGACGGCTATTGGAATGTGTCCGTTGTACTCCATAATGTCAGTGATGACTGGCAGTGGTTTTCCAGGTTTCCAGCCATTTTTCAAGATGTTGGGGAAGCATGTTGAAGGACAGCATATAAGTGAATAAATACGCATCATCACAGCACTGCTGTGAGGGAGTATTGCCTGAGACGGAACACTTAGTCCACAATCAGCAAGCTTCGTATCTGGGTGGGGATTTGAACCCAAGTCTCTCTGGTCCTAGAGTTGACCCTATTATTACTACAATTGTACCTTGGTTGACGAACGCCTTGTGACTCGAACGTTTTGGCTCCTGAATGCCGCAAACCCGGAAGTGAGTGTTCGGTTTGCGAACGTTCTTTGGAATCCGAACATCCGACACAGCTTCTGTAGCTTCCGATTGGCTGCAGGAAGCCGCATCTTGGGTTTCCAAATGTTTTGAAAGTCCAGCGGGACTTCCGGAACGGAGTCTGTTCGACTTCCGAGATAGGACTGTACTACTACACCACACTAAAGCTCAGCCGGTAGAGCATGAGGCTCTTAATGTCACGGTCGTGGGTTCGAGCCCCATGCTGGGCAAAAGATTCCTGCATTGCAGGGGGTTGGACTAGATGACCCTCATAGTCCCTTCCAACTCTACAGTTCTAGGACTCTAGGAATCCCTTCAGTACGTAGCTAGTTTCATCAGCAAGCCAACCCAGTCCCCTCTCAGTCTGCTCCCCACCCTGCTAAATCCCGTTTTTCTTTTTTGTGAGAAGATGGGAGACCTGACCTAAAGCCATCTCTCCCCACAGTGGGTGTGTGAGGAGAAGCCAGACATACTCTGCCTCCAAGAGACGAAATGCGCTGAAAAACAGCTGCCATCCGAGATCCGGGATCTGGCCGACTATCCCCACAAGTACTGGGCCTGCTCCGACGACAAGGAAGGCTACAGTGGGGTGGCCCTCCTCTCCAAGGCCAAGCCTGTCGATGTCACCTACGGTATCGGTAAGGACTTCTGAAACCCCATGACTAACTGCAGGTGGGGACTTTCTGACCTAGGGGCTGAATGTGGCCCTCCAGGCCCCTTGTCTGGCCCTCAGAACTCTCACCAGGTCTTGCCTCTCTTGTCTGGCCCTGTCTTCACACCTCAAGTGTTTTTATGTGTCCTTGAACTCTGATGGCTTCCGCTTGTCCAGATGGAGGAGAGAGAGGAACGTGTGTAGAAACTGTGTGAACGTAAAGTTTGTATTAGTTACTTCATCCACTTTCCCCTCTGTCCTCCCCCTCCACCAGCATGTGGCCCCTGGAAAGTTGTCCAGACAGAAATGCAGCCCAAGGGCTAATAAAGGCCCCTCACCCCTAAACTACACTGTCCTCTGCCGCAAATCTATCCTGTTTTGTCCGCAAGTCCTATGTTTCTCTTTGCGTTTGAACGGCACCCTTGTTTATCTTACAGCTAGCATGGACAATGGTCAAGGATCATGGGAACTGTAGTCCCAAACATGAGGATTTTTACAATTTTCACTGTACAGTGGTGCCCCGCAAGACGAATGCCTCGCAAGACGAAAAACTCGCTAGACGAAAGAGTTTTCCGTTTTTTGAGTCGTTCCGCAAGACGAATTTCCCTATGGGCTTGCTTCGCAAGACGAAACGTCTTGCGAGTTCTTGCAAGTTTGTTTCCTTTTTCTTAAAGCCGCTAAGCCGTTAATAGCCACTAAGCCGTTAATAGCCGCTAAGCCGCTAATAGCCGTGCTTCGCAAGACGAAAAAACCGCAAGACGAAGAGACTCGCGGAACGGATTAATTTCGTCTTGCGAGGCACCACTGTAAATCAGTTTGGGACAATTGGTCGACTGTCAGGTCTTGCATAGGCCCTGACGAGGTGCTTTGAAAAGAGCTCTGTAGCCAAAGGGAAAAAAGGTCACCTGGCGACAGCTAGTGTGGCGTAATGGTTAGAGTGTTGGGCTATGACCTGGGAGACCAGGGTTCGAATCCCCACTCTGCCTTGTAGCTCACTAGGTGACCTTGGGCCAGCCACCGTCTCTCCGCTGGTGTACGTAAGTGTAAGAAAAGGGGTATATAAATCAAAACAAACATTGTGACTCAAACTCGGCCTGCAAGGCCTGGGGGAGACCTAGGTTCCCCACCAGATCCAGTTGCCCGTTCTGCTACTCCGTAACCGGCCACCGTTTCCGTTCTCTGCCCCCCCCGCAGGCGAGGAGGAGCATGACAAGGAAGGCCGGGTGATCACGGCCGAGTTCCCCTCCTACTTCCTGGTGACGGCCTACGTCCCCAACGCGGGCCGGGGCCTGGTGCGACTGGAGTACCGTGAGCGCTGGGACGTGGCCTTCCGCTCCTACCTGCAAGGCCTGGCCGCCCGCAAGCCACTTGTCCTCTGCGGGGACCTCAACGTGGCCCACCAGGAGATCGACCTGAAGAACCCCAAGGGCAACAAGAAGAACGCCGGCTTCACCCCCGAGGAGCGGGAGGGTTTCGGCAAGCTGCTGGAGGCTGGCTTTGCCGACACGTTCCGCCACCTCTACCCTGACACCCCCTACGCCTACACCTTCTGGACCTACATGATGAACGCCCGGGCCAAGAACGTGGGCTGGCGGCTCGACTACTTTGTTGTCTCCAAAGACCTGCTGGAGAACGTCTGCGACAGCAAGATCCGATCCACGGCCCTGGGGAGCGACCACTGCCCCATCACCCTGTACCTGGCCATGTGATGGAGAGTCAAGGGAATGGAGGGCGGTTACTATCATGGGTCCTCTGATAATTGCAGCTTGAACCAAGAGGTGGATAGAGAGACCCAGCCCTAGAAAGTCCTGATTGTGGGATTTGAGATCATGTTCTTTCAGTATGCCAGGGGTCGCCAACATGGTGCCATCCATATGTCTTGCTCTTGGGAAGTGCAATCCACAACATCTAGAGAGCATTATGGTGGCAAACTCTGACCTATGTTCATGCCCACTCTTCTCTAGTGGGAGCTTCAAATTTCTCTGTTATTTCTTTGTTCACAGCAAGGTATCTGCCCTGGGTTGCCTGCTCCTGATCGGGGAGACCGCCTCTTTTGCAGTTCCGCCTCTTCCCCAAGGATGGTTTTGGGCTTGTGAAATGGTGCAGTGTGCTGGGGGAATCCAGTGCTGCAGAAGTTCATGCACCTTCCCCCCCCCACCCCCGCCGCCTGTTGCAAGTCAGCAGGGTCCCATTTTCCACTCTAGAGCAGATGGGAGGGAAGAGGCGGGAGATGCAGGATAAGCCATATGGTGTCTTTCTGACTCAGGGCTGTTAAATGTGAGGTTGGTATCGCTGGTTCAGCAGCTGGCAACCCTTGTGCGATGTGGTTCTCGAAAGTGGAAGTTTCTCTGGTATTTAGGAAAAGTTGGAGTTTTCTCTCCATCAACCTGATGCTGTTTTCCATCTCCTTTGGCCTCTAACTGTCCATCCTCCCTCCCTTATTTTTCTACCTAGCAGCTACCAGTTTTCTCCTTACAAAAAACTGTCCCCCTCCTCTAGGCAGCAATGGTGCTCTGAGACAAAAGATTTAACTCTTCTGGAAAAAGTGTATTAAACTTTCCTTTATATATATATAAAATGTGAATTTCTACAGCTCTCCTGGTTTTTTTTGCGGCATTATTCTCAAGGTTGGAGGGGCAGCAGAGGTGAATGGGCACTGCCACACCAACCCTCAGCCTGCCTTCCCACTTCCAGCCAGCCCAAGGGGTCACCTGACCTGTCAGCTTTCTCTGCTTTAGTCTCTGTTACCCCTTGTGTCACTCAATAGGGGAGAGGATGGGGACATTGCGACAGGCTCCACCTAGTGTTTGGCTCCCACCCTCTGTTCCAATGGGCTTCAGCCACTATGGTTGGAGTATGAGTGATGGTCTTCCTCCCTGCACCCTGCTAATGACTATTTACTTCATTTTTATCCTGTCCATCTTCCAGAGTCACAGGAATTGCTTTCCCCATCTGTTGGATCCTCCAAGAAACCTATGAGGGAGACCTCTGGCAATGACTGACTCATGGCCATCCAGTGACTATCAAACTCAAATGAAGATTTAAACGCAGCTCTCCTTAACACAAGGGTAGCCAACATGGCGCCCTCAGTTCAGATATACTTGGACCACATCTCCCTTGATCTTTGGCCATGTTGACTGGGGCTCATGGGAGTTGCAGTGGACAATGGAGGATCCCACACTGGCTACTCCCGTAATAGCCTCAGCCTGACAGCAACCCTGGCTCTAGATTACTATTTACCAAGTCACCTTTTTTCTCTGCATGCATACAGCCTATTGCAGCTGAATTCATTGATTTTCCATGCTATATACTGCTTTTCAGGTAAGCAACACAAAGTAGTTTGCAGAAATCAATTTTTTAAAAAAAACTTATCTAAACATATTGGAGGGTTGGGAGGGTGGCAACAGAAGACCTTTGCAATTAATAAAATGCCGCATTTCTTCCCAAATCACACTGCCAGCAAGCCGTCTGTTGAGGTGATGTAGCAGCCCTGCCTGTAGGCTTGGAATGGAATCCCTGTGAGGCATGGTTAAGGGGCAAATTTGGATGACTATGGGGCAATTCAGGGCGCTCTTTCAACAAGTAGAATTTCCTGGTAGACTGTGTCCACATCTTAAAAGGGAACATTCTCAACAAGCAGAACATCCCACCTTAAATGCCTGTCAGTGCTAGTCAAAAGCAGCCCAGTTTTTACCCTGTCATTTAGATTTCCCCATTTCGGTCCCAAAATGGTTTAGGGCTAGGATGGGGGTGAGGACCTGTAGCTGTCCCAATGTTGCTGGACTACAATTCCCATCACCCCTGAACAGTGGCCATGCTAGCTGGGGCTGGTGGTATTCATAGTCCAACACCATCAGCAAGGCCACAGGTTCCCTCATCCCTCAGTTCAGGGCAGCCCCATATTAGCAACTGTGAACAAGGAATCAAGACCAGGAGAGTTTTTGTTTGAAGCGCACAGAATTAAATCCACTTACAAGGGAGACAGGGCAGCTCCCATCATGGCTGGCCACTGTATGTTGGCAGGGCACTTGCAGGGAGTTGTGGGCCCAAACATCTGGAGGGCACCAGGTTCAAATTAGGAAACTGCACATCCCCAATTAGCACCCCCCCTCCAAAATCCAAATATGGTCCAAACCGCACTCCCAAGAAAACAACCACTCAAAGGGCATCCGCCCCTCAGAAGACGTATGGAATCTTTTACTTTATTTACAACCATCCAATCTGCATTCCTCCTTTGGCTGTGTGGAGGCAAAGGAGAGCGAGAGGCGAGTTTCAGCATGACTGAAGGAGAGACAAGGTGCAGGCACACAGGTGGGAGGGAGCGAGGGAGCCACCGGGAAGGAGAGCGAATCTTAAATAGCTCTATGTACACATCAGTTATTCTTATATATACAAAGCTGCAACGGCAACAAGTTTGGGGCCACAAGCTCAAAGCCATGGGGGCACGAGGAAGGGGGGAATCTGAGGAAGGGACTTAAAAACACCCCATTGACAAAAGCCAAGACATGCACGGAAGCAGGACTGACACCCTTTCCCCTCTGGTTGCGCTGCCAAGACTGGCCTCCCTCCCATGAACGTCTCTCGCAGGCCTCAAATGACCTAGGCCAGGGAGTGGGGTACATTGGGACCTCCAGTTGCTGCACTTTCAACAGGTCCAGCAGCAAGGAATGACGGGAGATGCAAGTCTAGCAACATCTAGAGGCCCAAAGGTTCCCCGATTTAAGGAAAGGAGTACCACCACCACCACCATCCAAAATGGGGTAACACAAAAGCATGTTCTTGGAAGCGAGTTGAAGGGGCAGGGGCGGAAAAGTTATGTCCAGGATCAGAACACAAAAGAGGTGAGGTTGGAATTTCAAGCCAGGAGGAAAGATCGCAGGCGGAATTGCAGATAGAAGAGGGGAAAGGACTTAGCTGTCCCACCCAGCAGTAAATAAGGGAAAGGGAATCCACTCCCCTGGATCCAAGGGTGAAACTTGACAAGTCTCAGTGCATGATTAGGATGGGATGTGGGGGTGGGTTGTTAAACCAGGCACAAATCAGTGACATGATGCGTAAGACGGGGGAGGGTCCCTCAGCCCCACCCTCCCAAGTAGGGATTTGGTTCTTGGAGGGGCAAGAGGGGGAAATTCCTCCACCATGGAATGTGCAAACAAAAAAGGGCAGGGGGGGGGGAGAGAAATGAAAGCAGGATCAAGGGACGTTTTTAAAAAAGTGTCAAAATATGGTACCAGAGATTCTGTCAGCATGAGCCTTCCAGATCTCAGGATTGCAGCCGGTCACAGAATAGAGGGCTGTTGACTGGGTAGGGGACATTTAGCCAAACGCCAGGCAGTATTAAAGGACAGGAAGGTCTGGGGAGAAGAAGGGCCTGGAAGGAGTCTGGAGCACCCACGCCAAGGTGCAGGGTACTGGCCATTAAGTAACCGAGTTCTCCCAAGCGCCACGGGAAGCCAGCAGCCGAGGATCTGGTCGCCTTCCATGCCTCTCGCCGCAGGCTCACCGTTTACGGAACGTGCAAGGTGCCTCGACTCTCTCACAGCCTGAGCTGTCCTTCGCAGCTGCCCCCAAGTCACAGAGCAAAGAGAAAGGATGCAGCGCTGATGTCTTGTAGCTCCTTCCAGCCTGGGAAGTGTTTCAAAAGCAGCTCAAAGAGAAGTCAACGGATTCTGAAAACGTACCACTCTGCCAAAAATGTCCCAGCCGAGTCACTGTAGTTTTTTTTTTTATCTCAAGTGGTTGAGCCCATCACAACTGGGATTGGACCGCTTCAATCTAATCATCCGACCACTCTGGCCCCTGTTGCTCATGTGTCCCAGCGCAGTCGCCGTAGCTCTGATGTCTCCCACACACGGGAGGCACTCAGTAATTTGTGCCAGTTTCTTGGAACCCACAATGTCTAATCACGCATAAGCCCCTCTTGACGTTGGTCCCATTTAGTGTTCTGTTGCCCCTGGAGAACTCTGCTGTTTCTGGGGTAGCCGCCCCCCCCCCCCCCGATTTCCGCAGGTTAAGAGAGTTCTTCAGGTCAGATCGTTCGTTTTTGGCACCTCCAGATCCAGGGTGAACGACCAGGAAAGAGACTCCTGGGTGAGGGTTGTAGCAGCTGCTGAGATGACTGAAAAATAGGGTGCTGGCACAGCAGGAGGGTGGCCCCGGAAGGTCCCAGCCCCAAAGCGGAAGGAAGGGGGGGAATAAATGAGGACGGACAGGGCTGGCTCTCAGTAGATGATGTGCTGGGAGCAGCAGCAGGAGCTGGAAACGGAGGAAAAGGCTCAGGAGAAGTTCTGGACAGGGTGGCTGACCCTCATGCAGGCCCAGTATGTGGCTCGACCAAGGCACACCAAGGCCAGTAGAATAACCAGGGCCCAAGAGGCGTAGATCCCGCCGTATATCTTGGCTTGCTTCCACGTACCAAACTGGAGACAAAAAGGAAAGGCAAAGAGTCAGCGAATGGTGAAGCTGCCAAGCTCACTTTCACTGCCAGTCAAATGGATAAAGAGGTTTTCTGTGAAAGAGGGAGGGGACTGAGGATATTGGGAGGAGCCCGAGGGCGCACCGTTGCTCAGGGTGCTTATAAACACCTATGGGGCACAGATAGGCTAGTCCCATGCCAGAAGGGGATGGGGCTCTAACTTGCTGCTTCACACACACCGCAGTGCTGATATATGTGGGGGAGGTTAGGACCAAACGCTGGGAACCACACTCAGCGGTCCAACGTGCTCATGGTTCACTTCAGGGGCTTTTCAGGAGTCGCTGTTGAATTTCCCTTCATCTGCTCCTTTTTAACGTTTTGATTTTCTGTACGTGCCCCATAATTTTGATACCTTAACAAAGCCATTCACAAATAAGGAAGTGTATTGAGGATTCCATAATGTTGTACTTGAAGGGAGCTTGCCAAAGGCTTACGTGAGCCCTGGCTCCAGGTTGTACAGTCGTACCTTGGAACTCAGGTGTTTTGGCTCCCAAACGCCACAAACCCAGAAGTGAGTGTTCCGGTTTGTAAATGTTCTTTTGGAACCCAGACATCCGACGGGGCTTCCGGGGCTTCTGACTGGCTGCAGGAGCTTCCTGCAGCCAAACAGAAGCTGCGATTTGGTTTTCAAACCTTTTGAAAGTCCAACTACTTCCGGAAGAGATTCCGTACAACTTCCAAGATACGACTGTACTGAGAAATTAGCAGCCTGTGCAATGCGTGGGGAATCTCAGGGTCGTGGGCTACTTAAAGCCAAAAGCTGCCCCAGGCCCGGATCTAATGAAACTTCCTAATACAGTGGTGCCCCGCAAGACGAATGCCTCGCAAGACGGAAAACCCGCTAGACGAAAGGGTTTTCCGTTTTGGAGGTGCTTCGCAAAACGAATTTCCTATGTGCTTGCTTCGCAAGACGAAAATGTCTTGCGAGTTCCTGCGGGGTTTTTTTCCTTTCCCCCCCCTTTTTCCCAAGCCGCTAAACCGCTTATCAGCTGATGGCTAAGCCGCTTATCAGCTGATCTTTAAGCCGCTTATCAGCTGATCTTTAAGCCGGCTAAGCCGCTAATACTGTAGCGCTAAGCCGCTAAACCTCTAATGGGCTTGCTTCGCAAGACGAAAAAACCCGCAAGACGAAGAGACTCGCGGAACGGATTCTTTTCGTCTTGCGAGGCACCACTGTATTTTGCACTGAAAATTGAGCAGCGAGGGCTAGTTCAGTTTCAGACAGCGAACGCCAGGAAGGCGCGCACTGGGACTGTGCCTTCTTGCTCACACTCACCGCAAGTCCTGTCGCTGTCACAGCCATCAACACGCCTAGCAGGAAGCAGCAAAAGCATCTCTTCCGGGGATAGCGTCGCCCGATGGAGGATCTGGGGGCAGATATAGGCAGCCCATCAAATTGTGCTTAGGGAGCCTCAGTTCTCTGGGGGGATCTGAACACTCAGATCTTGGGGAAGCACTTCAGAGGAGTTTGCCACACTGGCTGGCCCAGAGCAAGCAGCCAACCTCTGCTCAGGTGACTAACAAAAATGCAGCTTGTGCTCTTGAGCTCCTGGCTCAGAATACATGACAGACTTCCAGGTTCACCTGTCTGAGAAAAAGAAGTGCCAATCCCACTCCCCCAATCCAGCTACTAGTTCATCAGTGGAATGGTCTCCCTCGAGAGGTTGTGGGCTCTCCTTCCTTGGAGGTTTTTAAGCAGAGGTTGGGTGTCCACCTGCCATGTATGATCTAGCTGAGATTCCTGCATTGCAGGGGGCTGGACTATAGACGACACTCAGGGTCCCTTCCAACTTGACAGTTCTATGCATTCTATGAAATGCATACAGCAGCTATTCAGAACATTCTCTCAATCTTCCCCTGCCCTGTTAGTGCGGCTTGTGGGTTAAGGAAGAGTGGGGTTAACTCACACTTTACGGCAGTGAGGACATCGTGCTAATGTGCGGTCCGTGAACTCTGTCCACTGAAGGGAGGAAGAAAAAACAAACAAAAAGAAAACATGAAGTAAAGCTAGTCAACCAGATCTGGAGAAAAAGTTGCTTGCTCCAACTCTAGAGGTGCCCACCTGTCAAGCACACCACCTGCTCACCCGGCTCCCAAGCACCAGCTATTCAAGCGGGTCTGCCAGGGTGCCACAACAGAGGGGGCACGATTATCCCTTGCCACCCATCCCAAAAGGAATCCCAAAAGTGGAACAAGACACTCCTTAACTGTAGCACGTGGGCCAACTGATTTGTGAATTACACTTTTATCCTGCCCTTCTGCCAGGGAGCCCAGAGCAGTGGACGTTGCTCCCCCACCAATTTTTCTGTGTAATCCTACAAGGGACGTTCAGCCGTGAGATTCCGATGCCCAGAGGCCGCCCAGAGGTGAGATTTGAGGCTGACAATTTGATCATGGGCTTCCCAGGCCAAAGACCAGGCCAGGGACAGGCAGCCAACCCAGTTCCCTCCACATGTTTTGAGACTGCAACTTCCACCACCCCTGACAATCGGCCACAATGGGGCTCATCTGAGCCGCAGTCCGAGCATAACTGGAAGGCCCCACATTGACTACCTTTGCTCTGTCCATTACATACACCACTGGTTCAGTTGCTGGCTTCATCCCACCAATGTTCTGGAGAAAAGGTATTTTAGGCAAAATAACATGCTACTGTTTCGTTTCCAAAAGCTGGAGACGGTGGGAAGACCCTAAGTCCTAGCCTTCTCTCTTTCCACCCCCAATGACCCTGGCCTCACTTCCAAGCACCCCTTACCAGGAAGTTGTTTTTGCAATGTCCGCAGTTGACGCGCACACCGACCGGCTGTGGCTCAGGACTCAGGGGTCCTGGATGCACTGGGCCCAGGTTAATGATCCTTTTACTGGGAGCAAGGGGGGAGGGGGGAGAAGAAGAATTAGATTAGATGACTGCTCTTATAAGCCTTTCTGTGCCTGTACCAGTGGGACAGCCTGGAAACTGGCACACCACCCACTTCCCAATCCCAACATTACTCCTTTATTCCCTGCTTGTTGCCAATATTGTCCCCACATGCAGCGAGGTCTGTCCTCCCAAAAGATCCAGCTTGCCCAGCTATATTCAGTCCCCCAGCAATTACAACTATTGATCACGGCAAGTAAAAAGAAGTGCTCCATCTCTCCATTCCTCACCTCCTAAAACAAGCATTTATGGCCCCCTGCTTTTGTGACATTGTTTTCACAGTTCCCACACACAACACTCTGATCACACAATGCAGCAAACGTTTCCTAGTAAAGACGTTTTTCTGCCCCAGGATACAAGGATTCTTAATTTTTATTTCAAACAGCACCAGGCTCCTGGCCGCATCCTGTTCGGGGGTGGGAGGGGTTTCAGATTAAGGCTTCAAGTGAAATTAAAGCCATTTATATCCAGTCAGCTGGTTGGTCCTCAAGCACAATATGATAAGAGGGTTTTTTTTTAAAAAAAAAACAACCTAAGTCACCAGAAACAGACCAACTCAGAGTTCATATAACAACTCGTTTACAGGTGCCTCCTAGATAAGGAAATGCCGCTGGAAAAAAAGGAGTGGGTAAACAGCTGGTGTCTAGGTCGGGGTGCAGGAGGGCAAAAGGGAAGTCAGGATCAACAGATCTCTGGCAATAAACTTGCAATAGATAAGCAAAAGGTTCTGACTGCCTTAACAAAAAGAAAAATTCTGCCCAATTCTTTCCTTTGACGTTAAGTCACCTGAAACAATGGTGTCAGGTGACTGACAGGTGAGAGGGACTACCCAACTGTCATAGTGGCCCACAGATGTGTGAGAAATTTAGGACCCGGCTGGCTGGCCAGATCCTGTAAGCCACCACTCCATGGAGCATACATAGTGGGGGTGGAGTTCTAGGGTACCCCCCCCCCCAACAAGCATATCCCAAGTTCAGAAATCAAACTTATTTCATCTGGGTTGCAGAACTGGGGGTCCCATCCCCAAACTCCCCAATGGAATTGCAGCAAAGCCGCCGTGCCTTTCTCAGCACCTCTCCCAGCCCATTCCATTACCAGTATATCCGAGGACAGGCAATGCGTTGCGATGTTACTTTGCAGATCAGGAGGCAGTTGCAGGGGCATCTCACGTACTTCTTACCAGGCGGGGCATTTTTGATAGGCTGTAGCAGAAAGAAGGCAAAAAGACACAATCCGTAAGAAGCAAACACACGTCCTGGTTTAAGAGTGAGGGGAGGAGGCTGTTAGGGACGTGAAAGGTCTATTTTGCTAGGGAAAGATCTTGCAGGGTTTCTGTAATTTATGGGGTGGGGCTGCGGAAGGAAAAGGCACAGAGATGGGAGTGTGAGGATGGCTCAGTGGCAGCAGGGTGAGAAGCAGGAGATAGGTGAAATTCTCACTCAGGACCCAGAATAGCAAGGTAAGGCTTGAGAAAAAGGGGTATTCATTGCAGCAGAGGAGATGGGACTTTAGGCCAGAGAACCAGAAGGGCAAAAGGAGGAGAAAGGCACAGAAATTTGCAGGTCGATTTCCACCCCAGGTCAATTTTTTATTCCATTTTTGGTCCCTAGTATCTTGAACTGTGTATTATATGACAAGCAATGGTCAGTGCTAAGCAAGGGTTCAGAGCAAGTATTCTGGACCTGGGAGACTCTTTTAGCCGTAAGGCTTCATAGCTGGTCATAGATAAATCATTAAACTCACAGCCACACCTCTCCTCCTAATGCAGAAGAATTGTGAAGTGCTTTAAACTCTAGTACGTAATGTAACAATACCCACACCACCCATTTTAAGCAGACCGTGCAAAGGAGGGCAGAAGTAGTACTAGTTCAACTTACACTGCAGAGGAGAATGTATGAAAATCACAATGAACTAAGTTACACTAGACTCCAGTGAATATGTCTATAATCTGTCGTGAAGGTTTAGAAGAGGAATGAGGGCTGTGGACTTACAGTGTTGCTGGACTTCAATTCTTGTCAACCCTGCCAAGCAAGGACAATGGCAAGGAAGGATGGGAGTTGAAATCCAGGAACATCTGGAGGACTGCAAGTTCGTCACTTTGGGTTCAGGCACACAGGCCTCCCTCTGCTGCTAAAGTACAACTCTTGATTATCCCTGCTGAATGTTGTAGTCCAAAACATCTGGAGGGCACCAGGCTGGGGAAGCCCGATAGTAAGGAATGTTTCAACACATGAAGAAATCGACATGTGAATGAGATTTGAATGTGCATTGGATTATGTGATGATTACGTTGGAAGTCTTAACTCTGCTTCAGTGATTTAATTGTCACTGGGGCCATAACAGACAGCTCTGAGGAAGGGCTGGTGATGAAATTCACAGTATGCAAAACAGGGGTGGAAGAAATGCATATTTTGATTGGTGGATGGAGGCTTAGAATTTTCATTTGGTCAGTGCGTTTGGCTGGGGCTGCACCAGTGGGGGTTAGTATATATATGGTCTGGTGTGCAGTAAAAGGAGGGGTCTGGGAGCTGGAAGGAGGAGTTGGTCAGAAGAAATGGACAGCAGAATAAAGGAGGGCCAGGGAAGAAGACAGATGGTCCGAGAAGCATGGCCTCAGAAACACGGAGTGTGGCTCAGTGGCTTTTGGTTTTGTTGAAGATCGCTGAATCACTTGGCTCAGTGAGTTAAGTGGAGAATCTGCCTGCAGCCCCGAGGGAAGGAGAGAGAAGCAGCTCAGAGTGTTGAGCTCTGCTGGCGGTTAGCAGTGCTGGAGGGTAGACTTCCAGGGAACCACAGAAAGATAGATCTGAATGCCAATAGGTCAGCAGAGGACTGATAGAAGAGGCTTCTAGTGGTGGCCTCCAATTAAGCTGATAAGGCTTAATTGGAGAGAACAAAAGGACAATCTGACTAAAGGGTTTCAACAGAGCAATTATTTCCTTAAAGCTGACTTGTTTAATGTTTATAGCTGACCCTAAACTGCGGGTATTTATAGTGTATTCCCATTTAATGATAAAGTACCATATTAAAACAACTAGATAAGCTTGTGCATTTCACAATCTTGAAACATGAATTCATTCTTCAATATACCAACTGTCTGAAAAGCTTTGCACTGTACCTCTACCCCACAGACACTGTGTTATTGTTAATTTGAGGTTCCAGAGGCAGAAAGCGCAACAGGAATGTGGCAGCAGCACAGCAAACCTGTATAAACCCAGCTCCAAAGTCCAACAGACCATCCCTCTTGAACCACACTCTTGTGTTTGTCAGCATCCATAAATGAGATTTCACTTATTGGATGAGAAGCTGAGCTAACTATGGTCAGACAGGTTTCTCCAGGTTAACTCCAGGTAATTATTCTGGGAAATACATGAAACAACAGAGTAGAGATCTGTAGCTCTGATTTAAAACTTTGGAGGGTGCCCAGACAGCAGTGCATCACATCACACCAACTCTGTGGAATCTGCTTGTCCAAGCATCAAGGCCACTGCTGAGCTGCAATTTCAGCTTCAAGATTTATGTTCGTACGCCAGACTAGGCTTTAGTGAAATTTTGGCGTATTACCCTCTCTCTCTCGTTAACACAGAATATTCTAAACAAAGGAGCAGTGCAAAGGGAGGAATGGGGAGAAGCTAAGCCAAGAAAGGAAGCTCTGCCCCACTGCGGAACTGTCCTCATAGCAAGACTTTGCACCATTCAGGCACCCTGTGTGTTCAAGGTGGTCCATGCACATTATCTTAGTAGTGCTTCCAAGAACCCAATAAGTCAGAGTATTATTACCTCCAGAAGTTCAGACCTACAAGGAACTAGGCGTGGGGATGAAGAAAAAGGAAATCCCCACTAGCTCTGTTGTGCAAAGGAACCATCCCCGAATCCTTCAGTAACAATATGAGTGCAGGATAAGTTTTTCCTCATACTATATATTGGGAACAAGGGATGAGGGACTGAGTCAAGGATGTGCATCTTTCACCTTCCATTTCCCTTCCATTAAAACTGTTGGGACTAGGGCTCCCTAAGTTGCCCCTCTCATATCTATTTATTGTAAGGCTTTTGGGAGGTTGGGTGGAGGTACCCTTCTTTTTGGGAAGGGTGTTTGCTGTCGCACTTTTTTGGTCTGTACTGTATTTTGAGGTTGTTTTTCTGCGGGGGTTGGTGTCTCACCTGCTTTTTAAGTGTGTTTTTGACCATCGCCAACTTTTCATCTGTAAAATGAGTACGTTTCTTATAATTCCCAGGTGTACCCCTAAACTCCAAAGAGGTTGGGAACACCTGTGTCAGAGGGCCTAACACTCTGTTTGGTTGAAATGTTGACTGGGATTGCAGAAAGAAGTGATTCAGCTCATCCAAATTCATTGCCACCTTTTCTCTAATTATTATTATTATTATTTTGCACTTCTTTCTGCAATCCCAGTCAACATTTGTGGAGGAAGCTCTTCAAAAGGCAAGGTATATTTTTTAAAAAATAAAAAACCTCAAAAGGATCCTGGAGTGGATCCAAGATCTCCATTTCCCATATAAGATGATGAACGCTGCTAGATGAGACAAAAATGCCTGTTCCCCGACATTTACTAACCAAGTGCAAGTAACTGCCTTCTCCTTTAGATTCTTGCTGAGCAAATTTTAATTCAGAGGTATGTTGCCTCTGTAGCTGGAGATTCCACGTAGTCACCATTGACAATTTATAAATCTCTCCTCCTCCATGTGTCTGCGTAAGCCACTTTTAGACCTACCTAAGCTATTGGCCCAACACCCTGTCTGGTGTCATTGGTTAATTATGTAGGGGTGTGAACAGGAACTGGCATGTCCTCTTGGTTATCCTGAATGTCAATCGGTTTTCACTGTGTGACCCCAGGATCTAATATTATGAGAGAGGAGAGAGAAAAGTTCCTATCCATTTTCTTCTTTTCTCATTATGTCCCAAGTTAAAAGGAAGTCAGCTGGTTGCTTTCCATCAGCCTAGCACAGTCACCAGCAAGCTGGTGCCCTGAGATGTTTTAGATTACAACTCCCATCAGCTGTAGTTGGAAACAGCTTGCCAAAGGCTGACTCAACAGTTACCTGGCAAACCAACAGCTTACAGACGAAACTGACTTATCCCAAGTCAGGCCACTTGTTCACCTAGATCAGTACACCGACTAGCAGTGGCTATCCTGGATATGCCAAAGTTGGAACATCACATCTGTTCGAATGGATGTGATGCAGGTATTTTAACACCAAGCTAGATCAGTTGTGCATTTTTTGCCTGAGCTCCGGTTAAATAAACAGTCCTGCTACAGGAAAAAAAAAAGACCCCACAACTATATTTATGTGTCCCTAATACGCCACCTGAGCTACAACTTGGCTATTAGAAGTGATGTTGTGGGTAGCAGCTGAGGCGGAGAAATAATGGCTGTTGAGCTAAAAATGAAACAAGCCTAGAGCTTCGATAATTAAGACAAGATCTGAGCCAAGGATCTCCTGGCACACAGCTCCTCCTCTTCACCACTACCTCAGCCCCACTGCCATCATACCACCCGCCCTTCCAACAGTGCTCACCGTGGCCTCGTTGCAGACGCTGCATTTCACGACATGCTGATGCATCTTGCCCTCAACATTGATGGGGCTCTGGCAAACCCGGCAAGTGATCATGGGAGCACTGCCACTCTCTGGAGACGCCATAGGTGAGTAGGGTGGGGGGTCCTCTCCGGGAAGCACAGCTGCCTGGCCCCCATCGTTGACCCCACTGAAGGAAGGAAACCCTTTCAAGAGGAAAGAAAGAAGTGTCTGTGGAAAGGGAGCATGGACTATTGCTTCAGTGCCCCAACCCCTCTTCACTCTGCTTCAGCCAGACCTGCATCTCAGCTGCCTTTCCCCAAAACAACACACATCACATTTCACAAATACTTCAACAACCCCTTAAAACAAAAAAATCTGTCCTCGGCTCCGCCCAAATTCATCCCACGAGACTCCAATATCTGCAAGCACTTGGCTTAACTCTTCACCAACCCCACCCCACCAAGTGGATCAGAAAAAGACAAAGATGTTATTCATTTGTTTGTTTATTTTTGCAATCGGACCTCCAAGTATCAGCCAACATAATATTGCCTCCTGTAAATGCTCAAACTCAGTCTTTGGGGATCCTCTCCACAGGCTGATCCACCTCTCTCCTCTAACATGTTGCCCATCAGACTACTGTGAAGCCAATCATGCCCTCACCTGTCCCTTTTTCTTATCTACCTGCGCCCCAGCACCCTACAAAAAACCTTCCCAGACCAACCCTGAACTTCTCCACTTACTGCCTCACTAATTGCTGGGCAGGGGCGCCTAGAACCCCCATTGCCTGTAGCCCAGCCCCTGCAGCACATGGCCACGCCCTCATTCGAAGTAGCCACGCCCACGCAGCTAAAGACCCGCCCCTGATGCTTTAACTCCGCTTTTTCTACTTAGGAGGCTTCCTTCGCCTTCTCCCCCCAACGCCCCTCCATTGCTCCCCCCCACTCAATGGAAATCTTATGCATATTAATGAGGGGGCGTGGCTCACCCTGAGGCGGGTTCGGCTTCCCCGGCGGGTTCGAGGCGGAGGCTGAGACCAGCCCTGCGGGCCCGACCAGCCCTCCAGCGCCGAGGCCGCCCCCATCCCCGGGCTCGGCTGGTAGTAGCGGGGAGCGCTCGCCGTCCGCAGCCATCGCTGCTACTGTTGCTGCAACCGCCCTGCTCTGCGTCCCTCTCGGCTTCCGTAGCGCGTGACCCCGCCCCTTGCTCTCTCCCCCCACCCGCTCTACCCTAGTCACGTGACCAATGACATCCTGTTCCCGTGGACTGCAAAGAGCCTCGTCACGTGAAGAGAGCCAGGGAATTTGTTTACTGATTGGGCACTCGTGGCCGCGCCCGTGCATCTCCCGCGCGCCATGATTGGGCAGGAAACGTGCCCGCCCACAGCATACACTTGCCCCTCATGTCACCCTCATCCCGTGACTCTCCTTTGGCCTTTTCATTGGCTGCTCCTGCAGCCCTCTCCCTCTTGTCCCCTGAGTCATTTCCTCCCGGCCCTCCGCTGATTTACAATACGGCTGTCAGAGCGGTGCGTACTGAGGAACGGTTGACCCACGTGACAAGCAAGCCAAGTGTTTTCATTGGCTGAGACCTGTCGCTGCTCCATAGTATGATCCCACGTCTCTGCGTGTATTGGCCGAGACAGGGTCTTATTTTTCACGTGATGAAAACTCTGTTCTCCCATTGGATAGACTCAAGCTCACCCCTGTCCTTCGCTCAGGATGTCTCCTCCCGTTCTCTGAAGTTTGCCCCGCCTCTTATAGTATCTCCGTACAGTATTGCCACGCCCCTCAGGCAATGATTGACGTCCCAAGCAATATTACATTTGAAAGCGAGGGGTGGGGGGGAGGAGCGGAGGAAGCATATGAGCACAAATGTCAATTTGCATATATGCAAATATATGCAAATATATGTAAATCCTTTTAACATATCCTAGGAGTCCAAACTGGGAGGACCAGTAGTGCAGATACTGAGGTTACAGAATTATAAATTAAATTGGGATATTTTCATTTAAATGCAAAACACATTTTATTGAAATGTAAATGTGTACTATGTTTAAAAATAAAAGGTGTGTACTTAGGCTAGTGGTTGGCTGCTGTGAGAACAGGATGTTCTACTAGATGGGCATGATCCAGCCAGTCCCTTCTGAAGTTCATTAGGTACAAGGTGATACTATATTCAGGTCAGTTTCTCGTGGCAAAGGTAGGGAGCAAAGACAGAGTTATACAGAATGCCTATTGAGGAATTCATTGTGATCAAAAATCTTGCACGTTTTAATACCAAGAGATACTGATCCAATTAAAAAAATTCAACCCTCTTTCTCATGTTCTACTGAAAACTAAAAGGTGAAAGCCAGCAAGCTATGCAGAAGTCCAAATATACATCCTACCTATTAAAATGCATAATTTAATTTAATTATGCAAATCAAAATGTGACCAAAATGACAGGTGAGTATCTGAGTTAAACAAGAAAAAACAATGAGCTAAAGCCAACCAACGAAACTGCAACTTTGTTAAGATGTGAAACAAGGAAGCTACTTATCACCATGTTCTGTTGATGCCCAAATGTTAAGCATTAAATATTATCTTTGTTGAATTATGTGTACACTGCACTTGTGTATCTTGTTTGCATAGCTTTCGCTAGGCTATATATACTTGCCAGACACAGTGAGGCAGGGTGTAGCTATCGATGACGGCATACTTATCCACAGTGCTATTTTTCTAGAAAAAGAGGTGCCAGAACTCACAATGAACGCCTCTCTTGTTCTCTTATAATGGCAGTGACACTCATCTGAGAGGTGCCAGAACTGAGTTCCAGTGAGTTCTGGCTGGAAAAAAAGTCCAGAGTCTGCTGGAGAGGGGTTGTTCCAGCAGCAGTTTTGTGACTTTCCATGTCACAGCTATGCTGGCTGGAAACAGGATGGGCCCCTAGGCTTTAATAGTGCTTCCAAATTTCATTCATTCAGCCACATTCTGAATACCAAGAGGGCCTGCATGGTGCAAAGGCATCAAATACAGTCATACCTCGGTTCTCAAACGCCCTAGAACTCGTACGTTTCGGCTCCTGAACACCCAGGAGGTTCCTGCAGCCAATCAGAAGCTGTGCTTTGGAAGTCGAACATTTCAGATTCTGTTAGACTTCCAAGGTACGACTATAACTGCAAATGTTTCAGGCTGAGTTCATGGATCTATATACAGGCCGTTTCCCAAGAAGCTGTGGCCAGTCATGAATGCTCAGGTCATATTGACCATGTGTCTCCCATATACACCAGGGTTCATCCATACTTAACTTTGCTCTGCATTTCTAGGCACAGGTCTGGACTTTCCACGTCTGTGTCTGAGCACTTTTTTTTTTTTTTTGCCAGCACTTTCCCTGCAAAAACTGCTCTTTACAGCTGAAATGGAGCAAATGGAAATCAGCAAAAAATCTGAATTGCCGTTTGTTCCGATTCAGCATTAAAGAGTGGGTTTTCCTGGCGAAAGCGGTGGGGCAAAGAAGAAGAACAACTCAGGCATCAAGTAGGTATATGTGCTCCTGTGCCTAGAAAGCACAAGGCAAAAGGTAAGTGCGGGGGAGCACAGAGTGCAAGTCACTGGGTTCAGTTCCAGTATCATCTCAGTCAGTGGCTTGTCAGCTAATAGCTTCCGGTAATTGTCTTAAGATTGCTTCCAGGTGACCTCTTTATTGAGCGCACATCCTGATTCATTTACACCATTTTTGCAAGGAGGATAGTCAACATCAGCTGCTGACTGAACATCCATTCTGATTTGTTTGTGGGGAAGTTACAGGACTCTGCATCAAAGCAATAGTTACCCCACACTTTCCAAAGCATTTCCATCTGGTTGATTGGGGTAAGGGAGAGAGGCTTTGTTATGGAAGAGTGCCAAATGAACGTTCAATGTGCAACCAGAATTCCCTGGCATGTGATTGGAATCTCACCCCAAAACAGGGACAGTCTGGAAGTGCTCTGTGTTCCCAAATCTAAAAGGAAGGGAAAACCAAGTCATGGCTGACCTTATGCCACAGCCTTCCTATGATCATATGATGAAATGGAGATAGCAATCAGCCTATCAGCATTGCTGCAGAAAATAAGTCGCGTGAGAGGAACAGGATGCTTTAATTCCAGCAGCATATAATTAATTTAAAGCATTAGGAAATGCAATTCACACACACACACGCCACTTACTGTACAGTTCACATGGAACCATCCTAACCTTCAACAGGGCCTCTTGTTCAGAGACCATGTCTGAATTTTTCCATGAAAATTTAGAACTATCAACACAGTAACTGTGTGTGGCCAGCGTGATATAGGAAATAGAGTGGCAGAAGGATACAGAGGGAAGTGGTGGTTTTAAACAACAACAGAGGTTTGATTGACGTGCAAAGGAAGTAAAGAGAGGAGGGAAAGAGACAATTTCAAACTCTGTTGTGAAAGCTTGTTTTGTGTTAGCTTCTGTGTTGCACACATCTCTGCTATTTCTCCTTGTTGAGATTGGTTTGCTTGCTTATTTGCTTTTTTATTTTTATTTTTTAAAAAACCCTCACCAGGTGTTATGTACTGAGTTGAATAGGATCCAAACTGCAGCAGTCGGATTGGTCCTAGAACAATAGGATCCAAATTGCAGCAGTCTGATTGGTCCTAGAACAATAGGATTCAGAATGCAGCAGTCTGATTGGTCCTAGAACAATGCAGCAGTATGATTGGTTGGCAGGAACCACCCAATCATGCTCCAGATATAAGTGAATCCACAACCTGATTGGCTTACAGTAGAATTCCAGAATTAGCCAATCATGTGCAGCCCATTGTGTAAATAATGTATATAAAGCAGATACTTTGAGAGGACTTTCATTCATTCCTCCTCACCACTATGAGCTGAATAAAAGAGCACGAACTCACTTTGCGACTCTGAGTATATTTCACCATCCTTTCAAGGCTGGATCTGAACACATCAAAGAAGCGTTTCGGTTAAACATGTTGTAAACTTTGTATGAATAATCGGGTTGACAAAAGTGGAACTCCACAGCGGCATCTGGTGTCACCAGTGTTATAATGAATACAGTACACAACACATACTGTATAAAGCACTTATTTTTTTGCCAATCTAGCTGAGTTCCAAGCCTGCTTTACTCAAACCTCTGCTGTTGCTTAAAACAACAATGTTTGTCTCAGTGTCCCACCATTCACTTTCCTCAAACTTCTGCCCTTGTTTGAGTACAGGAAGAAGGTAGAGACACTGAAAGGGAAAATGAAGACTGTTTTAAACTTCTCCACTGCCTCATATTCCATTGTATCTTCCCATAATATATTTCACTCCAGCTACCACGTATTTTTTTCAACGTGAAGTTCCAGGTTCACAGTATTAATTTAGGAAAGCTATTTTGTTAACAAACAAACACCCATATATGTACAACATCCATCAACTGAACTTAAACTGAACAAGCTACTGTAACAGATAGGTTTGCTCTTTATACTATTTATTTATTTCATGAAATTTATATACTGCTTGATTGTAGAAAAAAACTTATTTACAAAAAGTGTTTTACAAAAAATATAAAGCGGAAGATAAAATAATAAAATGGTCACTAAGAAATTTGCAACTGTAATTTAAAACACACTGTACAGAAGGTTAAAACCTATGTGCAGAGCATAATTCTTTCCGAGATGGAAAATGCAAGATCCCTTTTCATATACAGTGGTACATTGGTTCTCAAACGCCTTGGTTCCCAAACGCCAAAAACCCAGAAGTGTTCCGGTTTTCAAATGTTTTTGGAAGCCCTGTCAGGAGTAAACATGGGCCAATGGTACCAAATAGTATGGGAAACAGCCCTACTAGAAAAATTAACTAATAAACTGAAACTGACACGGGGACAAACAGAAGAAGACGCCTTCTTTATCTATGGCTCCCCTTTATCACATACACAGCCCAACAGGACAATGACAATAATCCACCAACAGCATACAAATCAATATGGCTAACCTGATCCAAAACACCCACCCACCTCACTCACACACGAAAACAAAGATCACCACAGCCAATCACAAGCAAACAATCACACCCTAGGCCAACCCCAACCTCTCTCACCACCAAAGGAACACAAGTGAACAACACAAGCAACGCTGACACCAAACTCTACATACATTAAACATAATAGAAACACCGCCACCCGACCCCGACCCCATCCATCTCCCCTCTCTCCACCCCCCTTTCTTTTTTCCTTTTTTTCTTCTCCCCCTAATGCCTCAACAAATGAAACGGATTTGTAAAAATGTTACCAGGGGAAAAAAAATACGAGGCATTACACTTACTTCTGTAAAACAAGAAAATCCTTAATAAAATATTTTTTTTAAAAAAATGTTTTTGGAAGCCGAATGTCCAATGCGGCTGTCAGCTATTGTGTCTGGGGCACCTACACCAATCAGAAGCTGCATTTGGGTTTTCAAACATTTCAGAAGTCAAACGAACTTCCGGAATGGATGAAGTTTGGCGCCTTTGTTTTTGCTATTTATTTTGCTATTTATTTTTGTGGCTTTTTCA